TACAAGAAGTTGGATAAGGGAAAGTTTGAAAATCTGTGAGTTGTGCTTTACGAGTTCTCAGCATATTTGGAAGTAGCTGCATATGCGAACATACAGTCTCTATTATGAACTTGAATAAAAACAATTACAATCAATGGATGAACAATCAAAGTCAGTTTCTTAACTTAAACGTGAGCAAGATCCCTCACTCTACCCTGATCTAGTAGCAGTGAGTCCCTCAGGAAAACCAAACCCGGTGGTCCCCAGAGTAAATAGCTTCCCTCTTAACAGAGTTCTCAAACAGCTAAACTACTCTGACCCTCCAGAGAGTAAAACACTTGTGTCCTCAATCCAACACAAGCCCACAGGTGTCTACTTTGACCTTTCTGGCCAAATAGATGTAGAATAACCTGCCCCAAAATACTCTCTGACAGGAAAATTCTGTGCTCACCGAAAATCTATCACACTCTCCCTTCAAAGCCAAATTCCTTCACCCCCTCTGTGACAAGTTGCCAGCTTATTCCTCTCTCCGCTAAACTCCTCCCATTCTGCCTTAGCCAATCCAGGGATAGCTCCAACTCCTCCCACTATTCTATTCTAACCCTCCTAAGATGTCTGCCTCCCTGGATTACCTTCTCAAAATGGAGGCCGGTTTACTGACATCTTAGGCTCCTACTGTGGCCTACGAGGTAAGGATCATCACACCATGCCAGAGCTCCTTGTCGGCCATCACCACCCCCAGCTCCTTCAAGGTCAAGCCAGTCACTTCAAGGATAACATTCATCCATCTTGCCCTTGGTCAGTCCCTCTCCCCCTTTCCTTCAATTTCCCCCAGGATCACTATCTTCTCCAAGGTTTCCTGTCTTCTCATTATGTGACAAAAGTACTTCATCTTTGCCTCTAATATCCTTCCCTCCAATGAGCAGTCGGGCTTTATTTCCTGGAGGATGGACTGGTTGGATCTTCTCGCAATCCAAGACACTCTCAGAACTTTCCTCCAGCACCACAGTTCAAAAGCATCTATCTTCCTTCGCTCAGCCTTCCCTATGGTTCAGCTCACACATCTGTAGGTTACTACAGGGAATATCATGCAACTCCTGGAATGATTCCATCAGCACTGCCTCCGGAAAATCCTGCAAATCTCTTGGGAAGACAAGCGGACAAACATCAGCGTGCTGGAAGAAGCAAAGACCACCAGCATTGAAGCGATGGTCCTCCGCCATCAACTCCGCTGGACCGGCCACGTTGTCCGGATGCCCGACCACCATCTCCCAAAGCAGTTGCTCTACTCCGAACTCAAGAACGGAAAATGCAATGTTGGTGGACAGGAAAAGAGATTTAAAGATGGGCTCAAAGCCAACCTTAAAAACCTTGGCATAGACACTGAGAACTGGGAAGCCCTGGCCCTTGAGCGCTCCAGCTGGAGGTCAGCTGTGACCAGCAGTGCTGTAGAATTTGAAGAAGGCGAAAGAGAGAAATGTGCCAAGAGGAAGACGCATCAAGCCAACCCCGACTGGGACCTCCTTCCACCTGGAAACCAATGCCCTCACTGCGAAAGATGCAGATCAAGAATAGGGCTCCACAGTTCTCAGTTCTACAGACCCACAAGAATACTGGATCCTGGAAGACTATCCTGCTCGGCCAATGAGGGATCGCCTAACTAAGTAAGTACTATGCAGATCTTCGTTGCCAATGTGATGTGTCTACTCTTCACTATTTTATCGAGATTGGACATTGCTCTCCTCCCAAGAAGTAAACATCTTCTGATTTCCTGGCTGTAGTCTGCATCTGCAGTCACCTTTGCACCTAGAAATACAAAGTCTGTCACTGCCTCCACGTTTTCTCCCTCTCCAGTTGTCAATTATTCTTGTTGCCATAATCTTGTTTTTTTATGTTTAACAGCAACCCACCTTTTGCACTTTCTTCTTACACCTTGGTTAGAAGGCTCCTCAGCTCCTCTTCACCTTCAGCCATCAAAGTGGTATCATCTGCATATCTAAGGTTGTTAATGTTTATTCAGGCAATTTTAACTCCAGCCTTTAGGACTTATTTTCAAGGGATGTCTTAGTTTTGTCATGTACAGCAATCTACATTTATTCATTAACTAAGTGTAAACAGTTAGAAAATGTAAACAATGTATTTAAATGTGTACCGTTTAGCAAAGTATTTTTTCAACATTGTGATTTCATAAAGTAAGTGTAAATGATATTTATTTAAATTTTCCTTTTTTATAATATGGAAGCGTGATGGTTAGATTATAAAATAGTTGAGTGTAAGAGTAATTAATTTGACTTCATTACCTTGTTTTTGATCTATAAGAGTATTTTAGGCAGTTTACTCTGAAAATCAAATGAAAATCTTTTTTTTGTTTCAGATACAGTCAGGCTGACGCCCTTAAGTATGTAGGCATTGAAAGAGAAATGGAAATCCCTTGATACCAGCTACCTCCTTTAAAACAGCTGCCTTATCTTCAGGAGTTTCAAGTACTGTGGGCAATTTTTTTGAAGATTGAATTAATGCAATTTGGAATGCAGAATTTGCAATGTACTGTAACTGTAATTTATAGTGACAATTTTTGTAAAAAAAAACTTAACAAATTTATTACCTTCTCATCAGCTGCAATACTTTTTTGTACCATTGAAGTTTTGCAATAATGCAGTGTGGTACATTTTTGAACCTTGAATAATAAAGGATACTTGAACTGTGAATTTGGAAGCTCTAGCTCTCTTATTCGATAGTTAGAATGGAACTTGAGAAATGTTTCTACATGTATTTATGAAGATTCATTTGTTTTACATTATGCAGTGATAATAGATACAATTATTTGTGTATTAAGTGATTTCAGTCTGCAACTGTCTCTTGAAGCTGTTATTAGTCTACTTCACCTGTCTTGCCTCTTTTAAGCAACAATTATTCTGACAATGAAATACTTGCCAAAATAATAGGTACTTCTGGACTAAGTCTACTGCATCTTGCTTAGCCAGTGTGCTTATTGTGAGTCCTTCATTTATACGAAAGTTCATGCAGCCACTATCTCTCAGCCACTGCATTTTAGTGCCTGTTAAAGAAAAAGTTACGAGTGAGTGCCCCTCAGTACTCATGGAAGTGGTTAAACGCGAAATCCAAATAAGTGTAACTTGCTAGTACATACAGTGGAGAGAGAATGCAGAATGTTTAGTAAATGTTAGCAAAATAGGATTGTATTTTCCTTTAAAGTGCATAGACAGGGGTCCTCAAACTTTTTAAAGAGAGGGCCAGGTCACAGTCCCTCAAAGTGTTGGAGGGCCGGATTATAATTTGAAAAAAAACATGAATGAATTCCTATGCACACTGCACATATCTTATTTGTAGTGCAAAAAACACTTAAAAACAATACAATAATTAAAATGAAGAACAATTTTAACAAATATAAACTTATTAATATTTCAGTGGAAGTGTGGGCCTGCTTTTGGCTGATGAGATAGGATTGTTGCTGTGTGCTTTCAAGTCGTTTCAGACTTGGCTTTTAATGAGAACATGCCGCATTATCACGGGGTGTCTGTGCCCTACACCACAGGAGAAATTACACTGTTTAGCCAGTATTGCACCACCTGACATCCACCGGGAAGTAGCAGCCAATAGTGAAAGGACCAAGGCAGTGACATATCCAGCTCATCCCTTGTTTGGGTATCAGCCAGCACGTCAATGACTTAAATCAAGAAATAGTTTTCTAAGATCTACAGAGACACTCGCTGGAACACCTCAGCAAGCGAGAGTCCAAAAGTGGCAGGCTCAAACCCAGAACCTCAATCAATGGCTGATACCAAATGAGAGACTCCCCCTGGGCACACAGAAGACTGGGTGACTTGGAAGGCGCTGAACAGACTGCGCTCTGGCACCACGAGATGCAGAGCCAACATTCAGAAATGGGGCTACAAAGTGAAATCCACAACATGTGAGTGTGGAGAAGAGCAAACCACTGACCACCTGCTGAAATGCACCCTGAGCCCTGCCAGATGCACAATGGAGGACCTTCTTGCAGCAACACCAGAGGCACTCCAAGTGGCCTGGTCAAAGGACATTTAATCAACTACCAAGCTTGCAAACTTTGTGTTTTGTTTGTTTGTTTGTTTAAAAATGCAATGCAACTGTTTGGTCTGCTCCTGACACGATAAATAGAAATAAGTCATTTCAGACTTAGGTTGACCCTGAGTGAGGGCCGGGTAAATGCCCTTGGAGGGCTGTATCCGGCCCTCGGGCCTTAGTTTGAGGACCCCTGGTATAGAGCAAACATGTTGAAGATCAGCAGTGTGTTTTCTAAGATCTACAGAGACACTCGCTGGAACACCTCAGCAAGCGAGAGTCCAAAAGTGGCAGGCTCAAACCCAGAACCTCAACCAATGGCTGATACCAAATGAGAGGCTCCCCCCTGGGCACACAGAAGACTGGGCGACTTGGAAGGCGCTGAACAGACTGCGCTCTGGCACCACGAGATGCAGAGCCAACCTTCAGAAATGGGGCTACAAAGTGGAATCCTCGACATGCGAGTGTGAGAGAAGAGCAAACCACTGACCACCTGCTGCAATGCAACCTGAGCCCTGCTACATGCACAATGGAGGACCTTCTTACAGCAACACCAGAGGCACTCCAAGTGGTCAGATACTGGTCAAAGGACATTTAATCAACTACCAAGCTTGCAAACTTTGTGTTTTGTTTGTTTGTTTGTTTAAAAATGCAATGCAACTGTTTGGTCTGCTCCTGACACGATAAATAGAAATAAGTCATTTCAGACTTAGGTTGACCCTGAGTGAGGGCCGGGTAAATGCCCTTGGAGGGCTGTATCCGGCCCTCGGGCCTTAGTTTGAGGACCCCTGGCATAGAGCAAACATGTTGAAGATCAGCAGTGTGTTTTGCTTTGAAGTCAATCTATATTCTGAAAGCAAAACAATACCCAATTAATCTGGCTTTCATAGTCATTATACCTTTTATTTACATTTAAGAAAAGAGAACTCATGGAACATAACAATAAAACCAAATGCAACTTGTACAGAAATTTTTAATTTTTTTATTTATCACACATTAAAAAAATGAAACACACTATACAAATGATTTTTCGTAACAGATTACACATGGGCCCAAATCAAACTCTCTTGAAGTGCTGCCAACATGTATAAATGCTGCCTGGAGCAAAAGCTTTTTGTTGTATAGCCAATGTATTGATTTAAATGCAGTAGCATGCAACCTCCAGTGGAGAAGGTTTCAGATTCCATTCTGTTCTTAAATTAGATTAAATGGCATTGGTGTCCATATTTACATACTTGAAATGTATCAATCCTGAGCAGGTCTGATGTAATTCCAAGACTAGTGGAGAGAAGTCCTGGTCTCAGTTATAAAATTGGAAGTCCAGACAACAGCAGGCCCCCAAGTTCTCTTTTCACTCTATCCATCACAGGAGTGCTGTGCAGCGTTTCGAAGCTGCTAAGCCAAGTAACTGTAGGTATCCTTTTCACCATCCACACGTTCCAAGTACTCCTTCTCTATTAGAATGTCAATACATTTCTGAAAATAGAAAAAACAAAACATATGCATACTTTTCCCACTCTGGATGAATTTCTATGGATGAATTTTCCTTCCAGGATTTAAAAACTTAGGTCAGGGTGTCAAACTCATTTTCATCTAGGTTCACATCAACCTTATGGTTTCCTTCAAAGGCAACTGAAACCATGGATAGAGAATCCATGGATACGGAGAACCAACTATCTATAACAAAATGGTCAGTGCACTCTAGTTTTTACCCAGGGGTTATGGAACGATAGCTCCCATCCCTTTTGGTCACCCACCATGTGGACTGGGGGTGATGGCAATTGCAACCCAACAGCATTTATGGTTCTGAGGTTGGTGAAAGGTTGAAGGACATTTTAAAGTCAGACATCATATCCACAAAGTTTTGTATCTACAGTCAAATCCCACTATCTGGACTAAACAGAACTGCAGCCTTCCAGGTGTTATTGTATCACAACTCCCATCAGCTTTAGCCCTGGTGTTTAAGGAGGAATATATGAGTTATCCAGCATCTGGAGGGTCACATAAAATGACATGGTGGGCCGAATTCAAACTGTGGGCGTTGAGTTGTTGTAGGTTTTTTCGGGCTATATGGCCATGTCTAGAGGCATTCTCTCCTGACATTTCGCCTGCATCTATGGCAAGCATCCTCAGAGGTAGTGAGGTCTGTTGGAACTAGGAAAAAGGGTTTATATATCTGTGGAATGACCAGGGTGGGACAAAGGATGCTTGTCTGCTGGAGCTAGGTGTGAATGTTTCAACTGACCACCTTGATTAGCATATAATGGCCTGACAGTGCCTAGAGCAAACTTTTGTTGAGAGGTGATTAGATGTCCTTGTTTGTTTCCTCTCTGTTGTTGTGCTGTTGTAACTTTAGAGTTTTTTAATACTGGTAGCCAGATTTTGTTCATTTTCATGGTTTCCTCCTTTCTGTTGAAATTGTCCACATGCTTGTATTTCAATGGCTTCTCTGTGTAGTCTGACATGGTGGTTGTGAGAGTGGTCCAGCATTTCTGTGTTCTAAAATAAAATGCTGTGTCCAGGTTGGTTCATCAGGTGCTATGCTTAGTGGTCCACAGTGGAGAGTGGTAACACAGAAATGCTGGACCACTCTCACAACCACCATGTCAGACTACACAGAGAAGCCACTGAAATACACAAGCATGTGGACAATTTCAACAGAAAGGAAGAAACCATGAAAATGAACAAAATCTGGCTACCAGTATTTAAAAAGCTCAAAGATTACAACAGCACAACAACAGAGGAAACAAACAAGCACATCTAATCACCTCTCAACAAAAGTTTGCTCTAGGCACTGTCAAGCCATTATATGCTAATCAAGGTGGTCAGTTGAAACATTCACACCTAGCTCCAGCAGACAAAAGTCCTTTGTCCCACCCTGGTCTTTCCACAGATATATAAACCCATTTCCTACTTCCAACAGACCTCACTACCTCTGAGGATGCTTGCCATAGATGCAGGCGAAACATCAGGAGAAATGCCTCTAGAACATGGCCGTATAGCCCGAAAAAACCTACAACAACCCACTCACTGGAGTGCTGTGATAGCTAATGGGGGGGGGGGGGGCTGTGGGGACCAGAGGGAGCATCTGGTGATGTGTCCAAGGCCAGATGCAGGCCCAGGTCATTTTCACCAAGTGGGTCCTCCACAGCTCTCAGTGGACAATATTAGACTACATCTGGATAGTGGGATATAGCCAACAAACATTTTTCCCATTACCTTTGCTCCCCTCCAGTGATAGTATGATAGGGGGTTAGGCTTTGGGTGCTGCAGAAGCAGGGTAAGAACACCAACATCCACAAAGAGCTAAGAATGTAAGATAGAAAATATATACGCAAGTGTAAAGTGGACTTCTTGTGAATGCCACTAACAGGATGCGGGCTTCAGTATTCCTGAAACTTAGCTGCTTGCTAAATGTGGAAGCCCTAGTAAATGAGATGTAGAAAGGAGTAGGGTTAGGTGAAATGGCAACTGTGTAGTTCTTATACTTCCGGAGATCGTATTTCACAAACATGCAATTCAGGACATCTGACGGTAAGGATTTGCTCTTTCCCAACCATTGTGAGCCTCTACTTTAGACAAACCTTTATTACTGGTACTCGTGGCTTAAATCGCGATGACAGCTGTGTAAGCACTTCTCCAAGCAATTGCTGGTGTTTAAGGACCTTTCTCATCTTCATAATCCTCACAATAGCAGCCTAAAAGGCAAAGGAGAAAAACTGACTGAAGGAATATAGTGACATCTTATTTGAGTGCTTACTACAGATACCTGAAAGCCTACAGAAATGTTTTTTCATCATTGGAGAACTGGTACTTGCAGTAAAAGATCTACTACTTAGTTAAATAATGGTTTTCTTCTGGTCTGACCTCAAACATGATGGAAACATCATTCATCCAGGCAGAATGGACCTCTTCTCCAGGCAATGGATGTTTGGTAAAGTAAGTTTGGGGGATGGGGAGACACAATCATGGCAGTAAGTATCACAATTATGACTTACCACGTTTCCTCGTATAATAGTCACACCGCTATTGTGGCGCAGCTGGCTGAGTGTCAGTTGCATTAAGATCACTCTGACCAAAAGGTCATGAGTTCGAAGCCAGCCCGGGTTGGAGTGGGTTTCCAACCAATTGTGTAGCCTGTTGTCGACCTTTGCAACCCGAAAGACAGTTGCATCTGTCAAGTAGGAAAATTAGGTACCACCTTAAAAAGTGTGGGGAGGCTAAATTAACTGATTTATGAGGCCATAAAGAAGACTCCAGCAAAGCATTCCAGCGGGGAAGCATGCGGGGAATGCGGAAGTGCTTCATCAGCGTCGCAGGTGGACGATGAAAAGCGACAGCTCCCCTGGCGGCCAGAAAAAGTTGAATAGCCTCTGTGTATGTCTGTATATGTTTGCATGTCAAAAATTGGGATTGAATGTTTGCCATATATGTGTACACGGTAATCTGCCCTGAGTCCCCTGCGGGGTATAAAAGCTGTAAATAAAATAAATAAATAAATTGAAGGTGTTTATAAAACTGTGAAACTCCCTTCCCTCCCAAAAACAGTTTAAAGCAACACCAAGGTCTTCTCTGCTTCCTTCCCCTCAAAGACAGTTTGAATACGGAGCTCTTACTCTCCTCTTCATCTCAGAATCTGGCCTACAGAAGGCACCAATTTTTCCCACAGCATAAAAGTTGCATCCCATTTTTCCAAGAAAGAAAGAGGATTAAAAATGTGACTATTATGTGATGAAATATGGTAGTACTGATTGTGTATAAGGAACAGTTACTTAGATATACTTACCCATAATCGTTCTCCTATGCACACTGCTACTTAATAAAAAATGTAATGCTATTGCCATAATTGTAAGTTACTTGAGAAGCCGGTGTAGAATATTGTCCAAATATTTGGTTGTAATAGATTTTCAATAAAATAACTCATCAACTGCATGCAGTTTTACAAATCTCTTGACCAATTGATTCAAATCTGGTTCATTTAGACAGCTATCTATATATATTAAAATGTGGACGTCGTCATTAGTGGTTTAAAAACGAAAAAATACAGGACCAAATATCACCAAATTTGGCCTTGAAATGCCTCATACCCCAAGGTATGACCAACAATCATAAAATATAGAAAAACACTGACAACAACTTACTAATCCTTCATAAAAGGAGAAACCATCACAGCGCATGCGTCCAAGCCGCTCTGAGCGAACGCGAGGACATGGAGGGGAAGACATGCGGCTTCTTGTGCCCTCTGAATGTTCAGAGCAGCCAACGGCCCCTCTCACGCTCAGTAACAGCTGCCCTAACCTCCCCGCTTCACACCGAGGTCTTCCCAAACCTTTTGGCTACCAAGGTACAGGAGACTTATTGTGGTAAAAGATCTGAGGGATTACAGATTGGGAATCCCCTTCCTTCCTTTCAGCAGCCAAATCCCCCATTCCTCCTCTTTCTCCTTTCTCTTTCTCTTCTTCATTCTTCATTCCAACCTTTATCCAATCCCCTATTTTGTGTAATTTTTTCCCCTTTTTATCCATTACGTTTTTAAAAAAGTTTTTGGAAATTTCTTTTCCATTACAATTGGAGGACTTTTTCAGCTCTGAGGACCTTCACAATGGACTAGATAAGGGATGTCCAGTCTTTTGGATTCCCCAGGCCAAATGGGGAAAAGGGCCACACATAACATACACTAACATTAATGATAGCTGATTGAATAATAATCCAAATTATGCGCCGCCCCATTCAAAAGGCCCTTTAAAATCAAGGTCTTCTAGCCAAACTGCAGTTATAGTGCAAATTACTGATAATACCCTGGCATTTGTGGATGCAACATGTTCTGATTATTCTTTTCCATTGCAATGTAATCTATAAAGTTTATGCTTGAGAACCACAACTGATTTACAAAAACACACACACACACACAGTCTCAGATTGTTGTAAGTATGTTTATGATTTTATGTTGGTCCTGATGTATAGATGTCCAGGACCGCAGTTGGGCAAGCCTGGACTAGATTTTTTTTTTTTTGTCGTGCCAGGAGCGACTTGAGAAACTGCAAGTTGTTTCTGGTGTGAGAGAATTGGCCGTCTGCAAGGACGTTGCCCAGGGGAGACTTCTCTCAGGTCCCTACATGAGGAGCTGATAGAGGGAGCTCATCCACGCTCTCCCTGGATTCGAACCTGCGACCTGTCGGTCTTCAGAAATGCCAGCATAGGGGTTTAACCCATTGTGTCACCGATTTATAATCCAACACTGGAATTTTCATTTTCAATTGAAATCGGTGTCAGTCATTTTATTTTGGCATCAGCCCATCTAATAGCACCGGGATTGTGGTGCAGCTGGCTGAGTGTCAGCTGCATTAAGATCACTCTGACCAAAAGGTCATGAGTTGGAAGCCAGCCCGGGTTGGAGTGGGTTTCCAACCAATTGTGTAGCCTGTTGTCGACCTTTGCAACCCGAAAGACAGTTGCATCTGTCAAGTAGGAAAATTAGGTACCACCTTAAAGTGTGGGGAGGTTAAATTAACTAATTTATGAGGCCATAAAAAAGACTCAGCAAAAGCATGCGGGGAATGTGGAAGTACTTCATCAGTGTCGCAGATGGACGATGAAAGCGACAGTTCCCCTGGCGGCCAGAAAAAGTTAAATAGCCTCTGTGTATGTCTGTATATGTTGTAAGTCAAAATTGGCATTGAATGTTTGCCATATATGTGTACACTGTAATCCGCCCTGAGTCCCCTGCAGGGTGAGAAGGGCGGAATATAAATGCTGTAAATAAATAATAAATAAATAAATATTGTTACAATATTGTTTAAATTGTTGCTAATCTCCCTGTCACGAAGCACATAAACAGGGAAGGCAAGGAGTTTCAAATTATAAATGTCCCTCTCCCACATTCCCTAACATCCGCAATATTCCCTAACATCTGCTAATCATTACTATATCCTAGAGGAAAGCACTATGGATTTGTATTAAAAGCGAAATTATTACAGAATCCTGCCAGCAATGGAAACAATATTAAGAACTTCATCTCATTGTTGAGTTTCTGGCACATACAGCAAAGTTACCTGGATCAGAAGTTTCCTGTCTTCCTCTATATTTTTGTGTGTAGTTTCTTGTTCCTGTTTCTGCTCGGTCTTCATTGGCACATTTATATTCACTCGCAATTTTTTGCTGTGAAGGGAAGCAAACAATCAGTTTTACGCTGAACGAGGGCTGGCAACTGCAGTGGGGTCAAGGCTAGATTCAGGCATCTGAAATTGCTCAGGGGACATACCTTAATTTTTTTAATGCATTAAAAAACAAATCAGCAATTTATAGAATGATTAATTTTGAGATGGGACTGGAATGAGGGGGTGGAAGGAAAGGGTGGGAATAACAACAACAACAACAACAACACTTTATTTGTACCCCGCTACCATCTCCCCAAGGGACTCGGTGCGGCTTACATGAGGCTGAGCCCAAACACAACAATACAAGCAATAATCACAACAATACAAGCAATTAAAATAAAACATAGACAATAAACATATAACATTATCAATAAGACAACATAAAATTAAAAACTATGGGAAGGCCAAATGTAAAAATTAAAATTGGAAATAGTGCTGAGGCCTGGACGAAAAGGTGATAGTGGCTTTTGTGGAAGACATACGAGCAGACATAAAAGTATAAAGTGCTTTGGAACGACAAAGTGCTATGGGATCATTATTCTGGGAAGGCACACTGGAACAACCACGTCTTCAAGCTCCTCCTAAAGACTGCCAGGGTTGGGGCCTGCCTGATGTCCTTAGGGAGTGAGTTCCAGAGTCGAGGGGCCACCACCAAAAAGGCCCTCTCTCTGGTCCCCACCAATCGCGCCTGCGATGCTGGGTGGGATCGAGAGCAGGAATGATTATTAGGATGGGTTGCTGTAGGTTTTTTTCGGGCTATATGGCCATGTTCTAGAGGCATTCTCTCCTGACGTTTTACCTGCATCTATGGCAAGCATCCTCAGAGGTAGTGAGGTCTGTTTTATTATTAGGATATTTTAATCCAAAACTGGAGATGGAAAGAAGCCATTGAGATACCTGGCCTGGGAGTGAAGCCTAGGACTAAAAGGTGAGAGTGTTTGCAGAGGATGAAATTCTGAGATTGGACTGGAGTGAAGGAGGAAAGTGGATGGATGGAGTATTTGAGTAGTACTTGATTGCTACCACAAGCAGTGGCTTGTCCATGCCAAAGGTGCAGCAAAATACTGGGAGTCCCTACTTTGCAGGTGGACTCCACAGGCAGTTTTGAGTCTGGTAGGCCATACGCTGCCTACTCTTTGCTCATCATTGATCTAAAGACATAAATAACAGATTCCATAGGAATCAAATTCCTTAGAAGCTTTATATTGACAGAGGTGATTGGTCGGAAGGCCTGGAAGGGCGCGGCTTTCCACTAGCCTTTTTGCAGCTACCACCAGCCTGGCATTACACTTGACAGCAAATCATTTTTAAAATAAAACATGCCTTCAAAATTGAGGTACGCATTACATTCGATGGAACATTATACTTGAGTAAATACAGCAATATTTTCTGAACATTCCCTTAGCATCTCAGCATATACATTATTTCACAGTTTATACAGAAAAAAGAAATCCCAGGAAAAGGATGCAGCAATAGCAATCCTATTGTCGAAGGCTTTCATGGCCGGAATCACTGGGTTGTTGTAGGGTTTTTCAAGCTATATGGCCATGGTCTAGAGGCATTCTCCCCTGACGTTTCGCCTGCATCTATGGCAAGCATCCTCAGAGGTAGTTGAGGATGCTTGCCATAGATGCAGGCGAAACGTCAGGAGAGAATGCCTCTAGACCATGGCCATATAGCCCGAAGAAACCTACAACAACCCAATAGCAATCCTTATGCTTATTCTAAGTCCAAAACTAGTGCTGGTTGCCAATATAAAAAAGCACAATCACAATATTCACCTAGTAACTTTTAAATTTGACTGAAAATAGCTACACTCAATATTTTAATGGATTACAGTTCCCAAAATGAACATTTAACAGTGATATAACTCCCATTAAATTTGCAAGAGTTTTAATGTGTATTTTAATTCTTTATAGTCCTGTCACCGATGGTTGTTCTGAATTAAAACTCCACTTACTGACTTTTTGCTTTCAACATGGAAAGCAATGACATTTAAACTACTAGCTAACTTAATGGGCAACCCAAGATGCTGCATAATTTAAGGATAGCCAAAGCGGGCCATAAAATATATTTTCTTTATTTTGCAGGATGATAGTGAGGAAAATGTCAAAATGTGTTAAGACATCTTAGTTGTGACAAAGATGGTTTTTTTTCCTGCCAAGAATGCTGAAAATACAGATTTAAAATTTGCTTTCTAAAAGATTTGTTTTTAGAAAGGAACACTTCAGAACTTTGTACATCATCATACACTTTCATAAAGTTAACATTGTGGAGTCACATTTAGGAGAACACAGATGCTGTATGCCTTTGAAAGATGCATATTTCTAGCCTTCACAGCTGACATGACATATCAACATATGCAGGAAATCTGATGTAGATACTAAGTATAGCACTTTTCCATTTCCTTTCAAGTACTGATAATTTGGAAAGGAAGGATCAATGGTTCTGCTGTCCTCAAGATTCATATTATTTCTTTTATTAATTTGTGAAATTCACCATATTTATACTCCACTAGCCATCCCCTGCCACGTGTTGCTGTGGCCCACTCTTGTGGTCATGGGGGTTCTGTGTGGGAGGTTTGGCCCAATTCTATCATTGGTGGGGTTCAGAATGCTCTGTGATTGTAGGTGAACTACAAATCCCAGCAATTACAACTCCCAAATGTCAAGATTCTATTTTCCCTAAACGTCCCCAGTGTTCACATTTGGGCATATTGAGTATTCGTGTAGAGTTCCATCATTGTTTGAGTCCACAGTGCTCTCTGGATGGAGGTGAACTACAACTCCAAAACCAAAGGACACTGCCCACCAAACCCTTCTGTTGGTCATGGGAGAACTGTGTGCCAAGTTTGGTTCAATTCCATCGTTGGTGGGGTTCAGAATGCTCTTTGATTGAATGTGAACTATAAATCCCAGCAACTACAACTCCCAAATGACAAAATCTTTTTTTTTTTTTAGTGAAGGACATACATTGGGTTGTTAGGTGTCTTGTGTTCAAATTTGGTGTCAATTCGTCCAGTGGTTTTTGAGTTCTGTTAATCCCACAAACGAACATTACATTTTTATTTATATAGATATTCTAAAAATATTGCAACAATTTTAAGCAGGATTTGTAACTTGCTCGCAAACTATAAGAGGGATGTATCAGGAACAGCACTTATGTTTCAGCTCTCAAAATTTTTTGTCTGATGGCCAAATAAATATATTTATATATAGTGATTTGAGTGAGGTGTTGATTTACTTGCAGTGGGAAGTGAGTATCTGTGGTTGAACTGATATTCCATAAATGTAATGGAATATCTGTTGTCATTCAGTCAATATACATCTTTCCATATGCTTAACCTCACAATCCTAAGAATAAGAGCTCTGGAAATCAGTCATGGTTCTGAAAGTTGACTTATATTATTTTCCTTACTTTTTGTACCCCAGATACAGTTTTATTAAGGTGTCTGGCTTCAACTCCACCTCATCAACATTTGCATTTTCATCCTCTAAAACCTAGGAATAAAGAAAACATGCAGTGTCAGGAAATGTTAACCAATCTCTTCTCATGCCCCACACACAAATAAAGAGCACTTACCAGCAACTTTGACTTTAGCAAGATCTGTAGAACTTGTGCCAAAATATCCTAAATTTAGAAGAATAAAAAAGAGAATTAATTCTTCATGGTTTTTATAACCAAGGGGAAATCAACATTAGATCAGGTCCACATCTTGGCTCACCTAGCCAACAAATACTCTAAAAATTGTCCTAACAAACTAAATGTGGCCTTCTTGGACCTCAAGGGGGCATTTGTTTCTGTGAATAGAGAAAAGCTCTGGAAAAAACTAGTAGTCCTTAATATTGACCCAAGATTTCTCTCAAAACCTATGTCAGGTAAAAGACCACAGGGGATTCCTGTTGAACCCAATTCAGGTCCAAAAGGGAGTCAAACAAGGGTGCGTATTAACCCCACTCCTCTTCAACATCTTCTTGCATGATCTCCCTATAACCCTGGCCCAAGTAGACGGGCATAGTCCCAAAATTAACCCAAAACATGTTCCCCTCTTGCTATTTGCGGATGATGCAGCCCTACTATCCCTCTCCCATGTGGATTTAAAAAAGCTACTGCACAAATTTGTTGACTTCTGTGAGACAAATGATCTGCAGGTGAATTATAAAACCAAGATCCTGGTTTTTGGGAAAAGCAATAAAAAACAAGTCTAGAAGATAAAGGGTCATTATATCGAGCAAGTAAAACATTTCAAATACCTAGGACTTTGGTTCAGTAACAACCTGTCATGATCCACTCACTTAAAATATACACTGGTCCGGGCCCAATCAAGCGACAGTGCTACCAGGAGGTTTTTCAATTCCAGGGGCAACCAATATATCCCCTCAGCTCTGCAAGTTTTTCAAGCAAAGGTGATGTCACAACTACTCTATGGAGCGCCCATTTGGCTAACCCCTAATGATCCTTCCACTCGAAATTCCTCCACAAATTATTTGGTGTCCCAAACTGTGTCCCGTATGCAGTTCTATGTCTAGAATCTGGCCAATACTCTATAGAGGCCACTATCTGGCTAAACATCCTAAACTTTTGGGAATCTATCCACTACAAAAGCCCCAGCAACTCCCTGACCCAACTCACCTTGAGTGAACTCCACCACTCAAAATGGTGCTCAAGAGTTCTAGCAAAGATCGGGGAATTGGGCTATGATAGCAACTTCTTGAACTTGCTAACTTTCACTGAGATCTTTACCCTTATCAAAAAGAGGCTGCTAGAACGGGATTATAACCAATTGTTGTGCTTGGCCAGTAAATCCTGTTCACCTACGAACAGGGCAATTCCATTCATACAGGGAAACCCAACCTTTTACATTGCAGCGCTCACTAATCCCTTTTACAGGAGAGCCTACATGCTGGCTATATTTAATATTATGCCATCTCCGCTCCATAGAGGAAGACTCAATGGTCTACCGCAGTGTTTCTCAACCTAGGGGTCGGGAGGGGGTATCAGAGGGGTCGCCAAAGACTACCAGGAAAACACGGTATTTTCTTTTGGTCATGGGGGTTCTCTGTGGGAAGTTTGACCCAATTCTGTCGGTGGGGTTCAGAATGCTCTTTGATTGTAGATGAATTATAAATCCCAGCAATGGCAACTCCCAAATGTCAAGGTCTATTTCCCCCAAACTCCACCAGGGTTCACAACTGGGCATATTGAGTATTTGTGCCAAGTTTGGTCCAGATCCATCATTGTTTGAGTATACAAACAAAACATGCGCTACTGGGCTGACAACAATCTTCAAGAATTTGCATTCACCTAAAATCACAGTGTGGTGTGCAATTTCCTTGTTCTGCTACCTGCTTTAAGGAAAATGAAGTCACAGTGACAGTGAATTCGGACAGGTATGTAAACATGTTACAGGAATTTCTTTCCCCACGGCTAGGTGGGTTGGACTTAGGGGACATTTGGTTCCAACAAGACAGTGCAACTGCACACATTTCAAGAGCATTGATGGCTGTTTTGAGGGAACACTTCCCAGAGCGCCTCATTTCAATTAGGAGGGATTTGGAGTGGTCGGCCCGCTCTCCAGATTTGGCCCCTTGTGATTTTTTCTATGGGTTTTTTGAAATCCTGTGTTTATGCGAACCGTCCGAGGACCCTACAAGATTTGAAGACCAACATCCAGGAAGAAATTGCCAACATAACGCCTGCTATGCTGGCAAGAGTCATGACAAACGCCAGAAATCGCTTTACTCAGTGTATGGAGAATGGGGGACATCACCTAACTAATTTGATCTTCAAAACTATGTAAAACAAAACTTTAGGTATGCGCCTACATTATATAAAAAATTCTGATTCATACAATGGGTTTTATTAAGTTTTGAAAAAAGGAAGTTAAGCTGTTGCACCCTTGTCTATTTTTTTATATAGACTACAAAAATGTCCCGTTTTAAAATTAAAGCCAAGCTATTCAGAGATGCTATAATTTGCCCTCAATACAACACTATACAAAAAAAAGAAAGATCTTGGAAGGTAAGGAATACTGGGAGTTTCCTCGTGACTTACAGCCAAAATATCAGACTCTTGCTTAACTACAGCTAACATGACAAAAACTTACCATCTTTATCTGAGTGCTATCCGTCAGCTGCTGAACAGTGTAGGCATCTTCTGTGTTATACTGCAATAGGATTGCCATCTGAAATGTAGATGCCTTAAAGAAAAAGGGGGGGTAATTTTTATTTTATTTTAATGACAATCCAAAGACAGGTAAGACTTTGAAGCAATTTATCTGACCGATACATCGCAAGAGCTAATACGAGTAGAAAATAGCCTTATATTGTGCGTGAAGACATTTTTTATTTTCTTCTCTTGATGAAAAATCCTCCTTCCTCAGAAATGTTAAGGTTATGAGTAAAAGTTAAATTGTGCAATTTGGCAAAACCCAGTAAAGTGCTTTTGGGGCCTAAGGGCACACAACCAAGAACTTTTTATATGAGTATCTTTTATGAAGCAGGTCAATTCTAAGATGCTTGTAAGAAAAGCTAGTTTACTGGAAATGCTATTTTGATTTATAAAACAGTCAAAGGCAAAGGAAGAACTTTTAATACGCACTCATGTGTGTTTTATATTCAGAGAACTTGATGTATATACAATTTAACAAATCAGGTCCAAGCAAGGGCATGAAAAAAGAACAAACAACAAATAGTAAGGGAGAAGGAAGTGGGCACTTTAAAATTATTTAGCTGCTTGTGCTCCCATTATTTTATCAGTTTTATACATACTGTATTTTTTGGCATTTAAGACGACTGGGCGTATAAGACGACCCCAACTTTTCCAGTTAAAATATAGAGTTTGGGTTATACTTGCCATATAAGACTACCCCTCTTCCAAAGCACACCAAATAAAAATTTTAAACACATCAGATTTGATTTCAATATAGTAATTTTCCTATTACTGTACCTCCTTCTCTGCCTCTCAGATCTCGCACATGCGCACCTGCACCGCGTCACTGCAGTCTTCAGGAGCAAGATCTGAGAGGCAGAGGAGGAGGTATGGTAATAGGGATACAAGGGCAGGCCAGACAGGTAAGAGAGGTGTGTTTTTCTGGGCCAAGAGCCACTCTAATTCTTTTTTCCATACCCCGGGCGCCCTGGACGCCTGAAGCTTGCTCCACCCTTCACTTACACCTTCCCTGTGAGGTGCCCCTTCACCTCACCATCAGGACCGCACTGTCCAAAAATCCTGATGAATGGATTTTCTTCTACCATACTTGTACAGCGTCGCCCTTAATGCTTTCATACGCGGCAGTTGCGGCATACGGCAGGGATGCGGCCACTGCCATTTTTAAGCTCCCCCCCCCCCCCCCCCCCACCATATGCAGCAACCACAGATTCTCCAATCCGGATTGGAAGTTTCAGCACCCGCTCTATAAGACGACTCCCAGCGTATAAGACTACTCCTGACGTATAAGACGACCCCTGACTTTTGATTTTCTTGGATTAAGAAGTAGTCTTATACGCCAGAAAATGCGGTATTTATTTATGCAATGCTTTTGACATGGAATAAATCAAATTTCCGTGTGCATTGGCTTTATTTCAAAGGAAAGAATTGGCAAGACCACCTCTGAATATCCCTTGCCTAAGAAAACCCAATGAAATTAATTGGGCCACAAAACTTGTCCATCTTGAAAGCACAAACATACGCGGAATAAAAACGGAATATATACAGAAAGTAAAGACTTTCTGCATATATTTAGGATTTTAATATTAATGTCAAAAATATGTAGTATGATTTTACACAGGAATAGTGCTACATTCGAATAGAAAAGACAAATATCATTTAAGTAAAATAAACATTAAATATTAAATACTTGCAGCCCTTATTGGTCTATTCACCATGCTCCCTCAACATTTCTTCAATTGTTCATTTAGAGAGAGAAACTTAGCAAGAGTGCACTTAAATACAACTCCAAGGGAAGTACAGGTATCTCAGTCTTATGCTTGTAGGTTCTGCCAACACAAGGTGCACCTTACCTGTAATGTATATCTGTTTTTGAAGCAATTGGTAACCAATTCTCCCTTGGATAGCTGATACAGCCAAGTCAATTTTCTTCCACTATGGCGACTAGCATAGAAAGCAGTAAATCTCTGGTAACTACGTTCCAGCTAAGTAATTCAGAAAAAGAACAAAAGATACCCACGTTTAAACTCTCCCATTTCAATTCTACAAATCTAGTTTGAAAGTCCATTAAATTTTACATCAAGAAGTGTCTCCAAAAAAATAAACAGCACAATCAATCAAATTCTCCTACTTAAATGAGCAAGACTTATACAGAAGCAAGACTAGTCCCATCTACATTGCCATATAAAATCTATACTATTTACTTTGAACTGGATTATATGTCAGTATGGACTCATATAATCCAGTTAAAAACAAATAATCTGGATTATCTGATTTGATAATCTGGATTATATGGCAGTGTAGATCCAGCCACTGATTGCAATGAGGAGAGCCATCTTGGAGCCCCTCAGTATGCTTCACAGAGTCCCAAAGGCTCTGCGGAGCAAACGTTGAGAATCACTGGTATATAGTATGACACAACTCAACAAAACACAATACAGTACACAAGCAAACAACAGTACATTCTTTGTAAAAAGGAATGGAAGAATAAAAAGGCCACTTCTTATACTGACCAAATCAAAAATAAATCTGATTTTTTACAAAACTTTACTACTAGTCATAACCTAACGAAACTGCACTTTTACTACAGCTCTCCACAATGTTGCAGCATCACTGTACACTAAAACAAAGATTTAAACATGAAGGTAACCTCACCTCAGAGGGGAGAGCAAACGCACAAGACATTTGGAAGGGCCAGGATCCAGAGCTCAGAACCTGTATGCTAAAGTCCACTGGGAGAGAAAAACAATGATTTAGTTATATAAATCTAGATCAGGCCTGCACAGCCTGTGGCCTTCCAAGCATTTTGGACTTCAGCTCCCAGAATTCCTGACCATTGGACAAGCTGGCTAGGGCTTATGGGAGTTGGAGTCTTAAACATCTTGAGGGCCACAGGTTGTGGAGGCCTGATCAAAAGCATAAACATTCTTGGAGGGGGGGATTTTAAAAATGAAATGTCTACTGTGCCTTAAGATGAGAAAAAATATTAGAGAAGATAAATTAATAGTAGCAATACTAATAATTCTACTTGTTACCCGCCTCCCTCTCTTCACAGCTCGAGGCAGGGTAAAAAAAAAAAAAGCTACACAGATAAAATAGAAGACCATTAAAATACATATATTAAAAGATATAGAGAAAGGATAAAATACATTTAAATCATACATATCAATAACATAAACATGTATTTTGAACATAAGACACAACAGATAATTTTTGGATAATCGGATCTTTTTCAGTGAAATCCATTAGCACAACTAGTATGCCACTCACACTGTTGCTAGTATTACAGGTAGAGTGTTAGGTTAAGGAAGATGCCACATTAAATTTAGAATTAATTAACCCAACTCCCTGCCTGTAAGAAAAGCTCCATGTCCTCCCATGTCAATTGTTCCATTTATTAGAGAATATTATGCTATCCCAGCCATTCAACAATTCATGCTCGAAAGAAACAGTTATATGGTAGTTTACTTACAATCTAATGGCTCTGAATTGGATAGGTGCTTTTTGAACTGCTCATTCAAATCTTTGCTTACGCCAATATCCTGAAACATTCTTTGAAGCTTTGAGGTGTATTCAAAGCCACAGGCTTGCTGTAATGAATCACAGAATAGCATTGTAAGGTTGGACATTAATACTGCAGGATCAAGTCCCCAAATTCTCCAGCAGAAGCTACTTGCAATATTACCAAACTGTTAAAAGAAAAACCCAAAGAACCCATTAGCTAGGAAGTCATGAGTGGGACACAAATTCTATTTTAAAAGCTTTCTGCATCTTCTAGCTATTCATGTTAACCAAAATGCTATTAGCTTGACATGTCTCCATTCTGCCATGGTTTTAGAATGTTTTTAACAGACCGACATTTGTGACAAAGCATTTTTAACTATAATGTTTTATACTGCTCTGAGTTCTACAGATTTATTTATTTATTTATTTAATGCATTTATATTCTGCCCTTTTCACCTCGAAGGGGACTCGGGGTGGAGCACAACATATAAACAGCAAACATTCAATGCCGAAACAGATTAGACCATACACATACAAAAGCATTAAAATCACATAGCTCGATGTTAAAATCCACTAGTTAAAACTGTCTCAACAACCATATCGAATTTGGTTGGCATACTAAGGGTTCCTATCGCTGCCTCATTGCACAGTCCCAAAGGCTCGGTCCCACAGCCATGTTTTTATCATCCTTCTAAAGGACAAGAGGGAGGGGCCTGACCTGATCTCATTAGGAAGGGAGCTCCATAGCCGAGGGGCAATTACTGAGAAGGCCCTGTCTCTTGTCCCCACCAAACGCACCTGTGATGGTGGTGGGATCGAGAGCAGGGCCTCCCCAGAAAATCTTAATCTCTGCGGTGGTTCATAGGACATCAGACAAGCCCCTACGTTGGCAGTCTTTAGGAAGAGCTTGAAGACCTGGCTATTCCGGTGTGCCTTTCCAGAATAGGAAACTCCAGCAATACGTCCCAGAAGCACTTTATTAGAGATCTAAGATTGTCCGCACATTGCACTTACCCAAATATCCTTATATTGCACTTGGCATACTCAGCACTTTTTAATCTGTACCCATTACACTTGGCCCGGCCTTAGTTTTATTGTGCTATGTGTACTGTTTTTACTGTTTACTGTTATTGCTTTAATGTTTTGATTTGCTTTATGGTTTATGTGTATCTGTTATATTGTTGTTTTATTGAGGCCTTGGCCTTTGTAAGACGCATCGAGTCCTCCGGGAGATGTTAGTGGGGTACAAATAAAGTTAATAATAATAATAATAATAATAATAGTAATAGGGGGAGATGTGTTCAGACAGGTATATTGGGCCTGGGCCGTTTAGGGCTTTATAGGCCAAAGCCAGCACTTTGAATTGTGCCCAGTAGCAAACTGGCAGCCAGTGGAGCTGGCGTAACATGGGAGTTGTGTGCTCCCTGTACGCTGCTCCAGTTATTAACCTGGCTGCCTCTCGCTGGACTATTTGAAGCTTCCGAGCAGTCTTCAAAGGCAACCCCACGTAGAGGGTGTTGCAGTAATCTAACCTAGATGTGATGAAAGCATGGACCAAGTCTGACTCTGACTTCCCAAGGTACGGGTGCAACTGGCGCACAAATTTTAATTGTGCAAAACCACCCCTAGTCACTGCTGCAACCTGAGATTACAGGCTCAGTGATGAGTCCAGGAAGACTCCCAAGCTGCGAACCTGTGCCTTCAAGGGGAGTGTAACCCCATCCAGCACAGGCTGTAACCTTATACCCTGTTCGGCCTTGCGACTGACCAGGAAGACCTCTGTCTTGTCTGGATTCAACTTCAATTTGCTCGCCCTCATCCAGACCGTCACAGCGGTTCAGGACTTGGACAGCCTCCTTAGCATCTGGTGAAAATGAGTGATAGAGTTGGACATCATCTGCGTACAGATGGCATCGAACTCCAAAAGTCCGGATGATCTCACCCAGCAGCTTCATGTAGATGTTAAACAACATGGGGGACAATACTGAGCCCTGCAGGACCCCACAGGACAATGGCTATGAAATGATCTTGGCATTGCCTTTCAAACTAAAATGGGGGGACAAAATATTTGGAAATAAAAATACTTTTAAATAAAATACAGGTTGGGCATTTCTTATCCTTGAGATCAGAAATTTTTATAGAATTCAGATTTTTTTTTCCAGATTTTGGAATACCTTTCTTTGCATGTAATGAGATAGTGTGCAGATGGGATCCAAGTCTAACAATAACATTCATTTATGTTTCATCTAAACCTTATTCAGAGCCTAAAAATATTTTAAGATATTTTAATGATTTTGTTTGTGCATGAAACAAAGTTTCGTGTATATTGAAAAATCAGAAAGCAAAGGTGTCACCATCTCAGGATGATTTCAGAATTCCAGGAATGCATAATCTGTGTTGATTATGGCTTGAAGTTCTATCGCTGCCTGGCAAATGCATTTCATCATATTTTGCAATTAAAGACACCTGCCATCATAACAACTTATTTGTTTAAAGGCAAAGGTGATTTCTTAACAGACCTATTGTTAGCGCAATGATAGAGCACACACATTTTATGTAGATGGTTCAACCAGGTTCTAGCACATTTAATCTACAGATCTAAAGTGGCAAAGATTTCCGCTTTGTCTTTGGAAAGCCAACATCAAAAAAGAGTTTATCTACTGAAATAATTGAGCTGATTGCCATACTTCATATGCAGCCTTTTCCTATCTGCAATGTTGTTTGGAACTGTGCTGCGTACACTACTGCACACCTTTAAAGTATTATGAAAGAAATAATTTATTTGCATATGCATTAATGGAACAGGAGCTGCTACATAACTAAATCTAAAGCAATTATATTGTTTATTAGTTCAGTTCTAGGGCAATTACATTGTTTATAAGGCCGAAGTTGGCCTATGTCTGGTCTAGATCCTTTGTACTAGTGATCTATCTTTCAGGGTGTGTTTTAGAGGCGGTCTTCTCATCCCGCTTCGTTCTCCTTTGCTGAAATCCCTGGTAGTACACACTTTCAGTGGTAGCCAAAGAAAGAGTAAAGCTATAAATGTTTCCTGCTTTCCCTCAATTGTTTCATTTTTTTAAAAAAAAGATAATTAAAATTTCAAAACTGTATCATTATACAGTATAGTATTAATAATAATAAGGTATTATAATTATATATTTTATATTACATGTAATATTACTAATAATATTACAATATAATTGTATAGTACGATATAGTGATGTATAGCGCTGATATTGTACTGTACTCATGATATAATTTATTTATTTATTTATTTGCTTTATTTCTATACCGCATTTTTCAGCCTGATAAGGCGACTCAATGCGGTTTACACAATGAAAATTATCACAATAACATCAATACTATCACAACAATATCCTAAACAATTAAAACACATCATATACAGCAACAAAATCAAACAATCATTAACAATTCATAACGCCTCAATATGAAATCAGAATCCGTTCTCGTAATCCTTGTGCCATTCCTGAGATCAAATTTTACCGTCCTCCTATATTCAGTTGCACTGTTTAGCCAAACGCTTGTTCATAAAGCCAGGTCTTAACCTTGTACTGTGTGTGTGTGTATATATATGTGTGTGTGTGTGTGTGTGTATGTATGTATGTATATATATATATATATATATAGAGAGAGAGAGAGAGAGAGAGAGAGTGCCGCTCTGAGTCCCCTTTGGGGTGAGAAGGGCGGCATATAAATGTCACAAATAAATAAATAAATATTAGTTCATATAATAGTCATCTACAAAAAAAAGCATTTTAGCAACTCTTCCTATAAACTAGGGACTAATAATATAAAATAAACTGTTTTACTGCCATTGGATTATGAAGCTATAAAAACCTGATACTATTTTTTTCTATTTATTTATTTGTTATTATTTATAACCAATCCTTTTCTCTAAAATGAGATATTCCAAGCAACTTACAGCAAAAAATATAATACAATTTAAAACCTAAAAAAATACAAACATTAAATTAGAATTAAATATTAAAATTATTACAAACAGTAAAAACCCCTAAAACCTATTAAAAATCTATTTATAGCTAAAACCACAGAACCCCCAGGACTTGATTTTTTAAAAATATCTCCTTCTTTAAAAGCCTGTAGACATGTTCCTGGAGCCATTTTTAGCCAGCACACAGTCTGTTTCTGAATTAACCAATATTATTTCTCACTCTCTTGGCAAAGATGATTAACAAAAGTAAGAATAAGGAAAAACAACTCACTTTCAGTTTGGAGATCATGCTTGCCTCGGCGTCATCACTAGCACTGTTCTGGTGTACAAGTCGCTTTGCCAGCATTTTGGCATAGAATTTTTGAAAAACATCTTTGTCTTCAATGTATTTGAAGACAACCATCTGGAAAGAGGATGTATTTAGCACTGATTTTCAAAACCAACTTTTCATATGCAATCTACATTTCTTTGCCAAGAGGCAGGTATTTCAGCACCACAGCTTTTAAAAACATAAAAGCAACCTTTTGTGTTTAGAACATGAAGCAATTTAGAGTTACACTATAACAACCTTCCGTCAATACACACAAGCATACATAAGACTATGGCAAAATACTCTTCTTACTGTAGTGTGCCCCTGAAGTCATTTCTGATATATGACGACCCCAAGGTAAACTTATTATGTGGCTTTCTTGGCATTGTTTGTTCAGAGAAGGTTTGCCATTGCCTTCCTTTGAGGCTAAGAGAGTTGGCCACTGGGTTGAGGAGGGATGTTAACCCTGATCTCCTAGATTTTCAGACTGACACTCAAACCATACTGGCTCCATCATCATCACCATCAATAGTATTTATATCCCACTTTTTCTCATTAGAAAGGAGACTCAAATCACCTTACAATAACATCAATACAATATAAAAATATACGAACATTAAAAGAGAATTAAAATATTAATGGCATTAAAATAAACAGCTTAAACCAGTGGTTCTCAACCTTCCTAATGCCGTGACCCCTGAATACAGTCCCTCATGTTGTGGTGACCCCCAACCCTAACATTGTTTTTGTTGCTACTTTGTTGCTACTTCATAACAGTCATTTTACTACTGTTATAAATCATAATGTAAATATCAGATATGCAAGATGTATTTTCATTCACTGGACCAAACTGGGCACAAATACCCAATGCACCTACATGTAAATGCTAGTGGGGTTGGGGGAGGATTGATTTTGTAATTTGGGAGTTGTAGTTGCTGGGATTTATAGTTCACCTATAATCAAAGAGCATTCTGAACTCCACCAGTGATGGATTTGAACCTAATTTGCCACACAGAACTCCCATGACCAACGGAAAACACTGGAAGGGTTTGGTGGGTATTGACTTGAGTTTGGGAGTTGTAGTTCACCTGTATCCAGAGAGCACTGTGGACTCACGCAATGGTGGATCTGGACCAAACTTGGCACAAATACTCAATATTTGCGCAAATGTGAACACTGGTGGAGCCTGGGGAAAATAGACCTTGACTTTTGGGAGTTGTAGTTGCTGGGATTTATAGTTCACCTACAATCAAAGCATTCTGAACTCCACCAACGATAGAATTGGCTCAAACTTCCCACATGGAATCCCCATGACCATCAGAAAATACTGTGTTTCCTGATGGTCTTTGGCGACCCCTCTGACACCCCTTCGCGACCCCCTCAGGGGTCCTGACCCCCAGGTTGAGAAACACTGGCTTAAACCCTTAAGACCAATCATCAAAACATTTACACATTCCTATCTTAAAAATTCACTTTCAAACAGAGCACAAAAATTAAATGATTCCTTGACTTCAAAAAAAGCACAGAATGGATGAACTTACCACTTGATTCAGTGTATCTTCAAGCTCAGCTTCCTCTGGATTCTTCGAGCTGCAGTCAAAAGTGAGTGATTATAACTGATCATTTGTACCACTTGCAATTCACCTTTCTTGACGTTTTAGTACAAGAGTAAAAGCTTTATTACCTTTACTTCAGTTTCTTAGACAACTAAAAACTTTTTAGGCCAGCATAATTAAGCAGCATGCTACAACTAACTAGAAAATAATCATTATTACTAATTTCCCTGGACAGAGACATGTTATTTGCTGGTTTGCAAGCTCTTACTTAACCCTCATTGCTATCAGATATAACTGTCTAAACTGGGGATAAGATGGGTCCCACTGAGCCCTAATAACCTGTGTTGCCATGTCGGATGCTGACTGCTAAATGATATAGTGTAGGACTGTAGGTTTTATATAGCAATTCTAAATGATCACTCACAAGCCGGTTTTGCTTGGAAACGAATATATTGCTTGTATCTCTGCAGCAAAGAAAGACACTACTGACTTTTTCCCACCACCACTTCATCCACACCTTATACACATACCCTGAGAGTAATTTTATAAAATACTATTAATAGTTTTCTGCATGAAACAAAATTTGTGTATCCCGAACCATCAGAAAGCAATAATGTCACCATCTCAGCCATTCATAGAATCAAAGAGTTGGAAGAGACCTCATGGGCCATCCAGTCCAGCAAGAATAATGCATTCAAAGCACCCCTGACAGATGGCCATCCAGCCTCTGTTTAAAAGCTTCCAAAGGAGCCTCCACCACACTCCAGGGCAGAGAGTTCCACTGCTGAATGGCTCTCACAGTCAGGAAGTTCTTCCTCATGTTCAGATGGAATCTCCTTTCTTGTACTTTGAAGCCATTGTTCCGCATCCTAGTCTCCAGGGCAGCAGAAAACAAGTTCGCCCCTCTTCCCTATGACTTCCTCTCACATATTTATACATGACTATCATGTCTCCTCTCAGCCTTCTCTTTTTCAGGCTAAACATGCCCAGCTCTCTAAAAACAGCCCTAATAATCTGTGTTGCAATGTTGGATCCTGACTGCTAAATGATACAGGTTGAATATACTGGATTCAAAATGTATTATGTTTTGCATATTGGATTTCCCGTGCCCCCCAGATTTTGGAATATCTATATTTGCATATATGTACATAATGAGGTATCTTTAGAGATGGGACCCAAAGAATGACAAAAAGTAATTTATGTTTCATATACACCTTATACACATACCCTGATAGTAATTTTATAAAATACTATTAATAGTTTTCTGCATGAAACAAAATTTGTGTATCCCGAACCATCAGAAAGCAATAATGTCACCATCTCAGGCATTCATGTGGCTAATGTTGGAGTATTTTGGAATTCCAACCTGTATCATCAATTTATATATACCACCATTGCTGTACATGGCCCTTTGAGTAATTCCTATTCTCCATTTGTCCTGAAGTTTCTCTTAATTGTTACAGAGAGTGGTAGTCTTTCTGTTTTGCTACATTACTAACATTTTAAATGACATATATTTCTACATAGGGGTTGGCCTATTTTTAGAATTGGAAGTCACAACGTGGTCTGTCTTCTAAAAATCTGTCAACAAAACAGCAACTATTCCTATTACATTTGCATAAAATGCCTTTCATAGTTTATGGTGACTATAAGTTGGACCGAAAATAACCCTTTGTGTCTCTAAATCAACCAATCAGTATTATATAGAACAACAACTGCTTACTAGGTAACAATTTTCCCACTACAATGACAAGATTCTTTGATTAAGAGTTTAAATGTAAGGAAAATAAAGGCTGCAGCATACCTTTTTTTAAGCAGAGAGTCACAATAACGTGCCAACAGTTCTGGGGATTTACTTGATGACTGAGCCATTTTTGTCACTGCGTTGTTATTTATAAACCGACCACAAGCCTATAAAGTACATTAAAAAGTGAATTTTTCAGATGTCTAAAAAACCAGCAATTGTCAACGGTGGCTGGAATTTAAATCTATTTACCTTATCTAGTGCAGCCACAAAACCAGCATCATTGTTGAAAGCAGACATCACCAGTGCATTGTATTTCTTATGGACATCCAATACTGTTTGTACATACATTTTTGGATCCTATAATTTTTTAAAAAATGACAAATTCAGTGAACTTCCAAAAGTTCTCCCAGCAAAGATAAATATACAGTGTTAAATAAGACTATTCTCATGATTGAACAATTGTAATAAACACAGCAAAAGTACTTCACTGTTCCTGGGCGGGGGGGGGGGGGGGGGGGGGGGGGTGTTTACAAGATTACTAAGATCGTCTGGAGGGGCCCTGCTCTCGATCCCACTGGCCTCACAGGTGCGGCTGGTGGGGACGAGAGACAGGGCCTGCTCGGTGGTGGCCCCTCGACACTGGAACTCCCTTCCACTGGAGTTCAGAACTGCCCCTTCGATCTTAACATTCAGGAAACAGGTGAAAACCTGGCTTTGGGGATTGGCATTCAACAAATGAGCCCTGATCCTGAGATATGGATGGATGACGACGAATAATGACTTTGATGACGACTGACCACTGTAATCATATGATTGTATTTTTGCCATTTTAATTGTTTCAATGTTTTAATGTGATTTAGAAATATGATGTTTTAATGACGGTCTGTAATACTGATGTTGGAAACCGGCCCGAGTCCCTCGAATGGAGATGAGAAGACCGGTATACAAAACTACCAAATAAATAAATAAATGTGTGTGTGTGTGGTGGTGGTGGGATTGGGGAAAATACTGGTATTTTGAATGTTAATTTCAAAGATGGTATGTTTCTATGTGTTATACAATAAAAAGAGAAGGTAATGGAAATATTAAAAATGTGGATAACATATTTTGTTGTTTGGTATGCATGTGAACTTATAAACGTTAAATAATGAAATTGAACTATTTGATTGTAGGCAGAGTACATTTCAGCTCTTTTGGAGTGAAAAGGCTCGATAGCAAGAAGGTTGAAAGCTGGTAAATAAAAATGTTCTAGCTAGTTGGGTTCAGAGCAGTTTGATGGGCTTTTAATACCATGACTGTATGACAAAGCCAAATAACTTTGCTTCAAAAAGATGCCCATCGGTCCAGTGGCGATCAGACATCTGATATGAGGGCCCAATTGCCACATGCAGCACCCCCCTATTCTTGCCTGTATGGCCTTGAACTACATAAACTTTTGAATTGCTAAAAAAAAAAGCTCTCCCAGCGACATAGTTCAGGGAACCCCTTTCAATGGTAACTGTAACAAAAAAAAACTTTTGAAATACAGAATGTGACTATGTTTAAATTTTAGAAATATATTCGCCTCAACACCTATGTATGAAAATATTTGTGGCATTCCTGATCCTCCAAGAACAATACAATGTACTCAATATATTGCATGTTTTGTAAATTTGAGGGGAGTTTTGAGACTACAAATTTGACAAAGCTACGGTTGAAATAATACTTGCATTTAGAGCAGCTTCTCCACATTTTTCAATTGCAGCTAGACCCTGATTATGAATATGGGTTTCCAATAGTTTTTTCAGCTCTCCAAGCCCATCCTGGATTCGAGATACAAGATTATACATGCGTCCCAAGTCTGAAAAGTAAGTAGAGAAATACTTTGATTTATATTAGAATTTGAGCTCTCATCTTTTTTAGTCACCTAAGAACTTATAAGAGAGCATTAGCAAATGCACTGAAACAACGCAAACAACTGGGGGCTCTCCGTAGAGGACAAAAAGACATTTAAGTATTTTTTTATTTAACATTAAACAACTGAAAAGGGATATTTAAATGAGGGTAGTTAAAATCTTGCTACAGTAGAGTCTCATTTATCCAACCTTTGCACGTCCAACGTTCTGTATTATCCAACAGTCTGTCTCCCGCTCGTATCCACAGCTATTTCAATGCATTGCGATATTTTGGTGCTAAATTAGTAAATACAGTTATTATGACATAAGGCTACTATGTATTGAACTGTTTTTTCTGTTGATTTCTTGTAAAACATGATGTTTTGGTGCTTAATTTGTAAAATCATAATGTAATTTGACTTAATAGGCTTTTCCTTAACCCTTCCTTATTAGCCAATGTTCGGCTGGTCTGTTTATGTTAGATAAGTGAGACTCTACAGTATTTTAATCATTTAAAAAGAATTACAAATCTATTAAACTTATTTCCTTCAATAATGTGTTTCAAGAGATGTCCACCAAAGGCAAATTTAATTACGTACAAATGTCTACAAGTTGTTTGAGACAATCTACCTTCATTTTTGTCAGCATCCAAAAGGTTCTGAAATTCAGTGTGAAAGATTTCCAAATGTTTTTCAATAAGAACCTGTTCACATTTTCGTGCTAATTCATCTTGTGTGCTCTCATGCAGATATACTTGAACCCTACGTTGTTCTTCCAGAAGACGAGCTTCCGCCTAAAAATATGCAAATCTTATTTTAAAAGTTCTTAAAAGTTCATATTATTTACAAAATAAAATCTATCATCAAAGCATGGGGGGGGGGGGTTATGCACATGTTTGTATACTATGCATTCCATATGTGTTGGCTTTTATATACTACCTATACGTATACTGTTCATCAACTTTGCATATAGAGAAGGCTGGGGAGGAAATACAATGATATCTTTCATTTTCATTGCAGTTTATTGTAAGGATAAGAAGGAATGATTACTTACCTGTAACTGTATTTCTTCAAGTGGTCTTCTGTGAATTCACAATTGGGTAATACGTGTAGGCATTGTTCAGAATCTTCTAGAATCACTGGGCAGAAAAAGTGTGGCGGTAACCCTGCCCATCATCCCAAGGCTATGTGAGGCCCAGTTGTCATATAGCTACAGCCCATATTGATGGAAATGCATATGAGTGTCAGTAACTGCATGTTTTTTTAAAAAAATAGGCCCCTTCCACACTGCCCCTCTATTCCAGGATATGATCCCAGATAATCTGTTTATCTCAGATTATCTGGCAGTGGAGACGCATATAATCCAGTTTAAAGCAGATAATCTGGGATAAATCCTGGGATATAGGGCAGTGTAGTAGGTGCCTTAGTGAAGTTTACTGATGCTGCTCCAGCCCTTGCAAGAACATTGGGCTGTCTCCTATGAAAGAAATGACAGGAGACTTCGATTCCCATTATGCCAAACATATGACACGGTAGACTTTGCCCTAATTCCATGAGCTTTAACACAGCCTCCGGTCTTCTTTGATACAGTGAAGTACTGGAAAAAACAAGCCCATGGGAAGTCCTTTTTGTGAAGGGGTTTTATGGTCCCTTTCTGGAGAAGTGTCTTGAACTCCTCCAATATTGGAGGGGAAGGCAAGGTTCAGGGTTTTGTCCCTGTTGGGGGTAAAGAATCAAACTTAATAATATAGCCAAATTTGAGGATGTTGAGCACCCAGAGATTGTGGGTGAGGTGGGACAGGCAGGGAGGAATCTGGAGAGACAATTCCCAAAGACAGGGGTCAGATTGTGGCCTGGAGATGGCAGCAGAGAGGGACTGATCAACACAGCAAGGGTGGTTAACTCTGGGGGCCAATGCAAACAAACTGGTGTCATTGAAAGGAAGGTCTCCAATGACTGGAAGAGGAAAGGCTAGATAAGTGAAACCAAGCATGGTGGAGAATCACTACTGCATGGGCCTGCATTTTACCACCAGTGTCAGCTGTGTGTTTTGAAAGCTGGACCTGGTGACATGCCAAGAACAGAGCCTCCTGGAGGAAGGTGGACAGTGCAGTCTTGACCTCATCATCTGGATGGTCAAAGAAAGGAGCAATAGAGTCCAACAGATCTTTGGTAGTCTGTCATGAAAGCTCGGTAAGTAGGGATGCGGGCCAATAATGTGGCACCCAAGTAGATCTTTCTCCTAAGAGCATCAATCTTCTTCCCCCTTTTGTCTGCCAGAGTGGAGTGGAGACATTGGCTCGAGTGGGACTGAGCTTTGCCCACAACGATGGAATTCAGCTTCGGGTGCTGCAAAAGCCAGGACAACTTGGAGTCATCAACTCAATACCAAGTTTCTACTTTTCTCAAAGTAGGTGGTAAAGAGGTTGGACCAGGAAATACTCATCACTTGCAGTAAGTGAGGAAAAAGCGCAGGTACTCAGCAGAAGAAGCAGCCCTTTGGGCATCTGTAAACAGTGGGTCATCGACAATCTGCATCCATTATTTGATCTTGAGCCCCAAAGTCTTGGCCATCTGCAGAATCTGGTCCGAAATTAGTCTCAGATCATCAGTAGAAGATGGCGAATCAATGATTGAGATCCTTGGTTCTGGCAAGTGATCAGAAAAGCAACATAGGAGTCAACTTCAGACCACAAAGGTGAATGGGGTTCATAAATCTTCACCAGTGAAATCCCCATCTAAGAAACGGACCAATCTCGCCAGGTAATCGTACCCACTGGAGGTACACAGCGGCTGGAGGCATACATCTGGGAGGGGGTGTTGGAGGTCTTAGCTCTCATGCATGCATTTCATTGTCAATGAACCACCAGATACTCCTGGTCCACACATTGGTGGTTTGGTGGCACCACGGGAGCTTCCACCCGAGCATGTCAGTCTGCCGAAGCAGCACATTACTGCTATTGAGACAAGGACCTGGTTTTTACTGGTTCAGTCCAATAGTCAGCCAGAGGAGTAGGTCGAGACTCGGTGACTTCCATGGAGGGTTCAGGCTCCTCGCCCTCAGAGTTTGGCTCGCCAGTGTCATGCTTTCCTTCCAGAGACAAGACCGAATGAGACACTTCCAAGGTTGCCCTCGGGGTCCCTGGTAGCTAAGCTGTAAGAACTGGCAGTTCACTAAGAGACTCTTGAGATTTGACATTTCTAGACAATTTTTGGCCTTTTCCATTCTAGCCTTTTTGGCTTCGTGAGCATTTTTTGGTGTTTCTCAGGCGAATGAGTGGGCTCCTTAGACCAGTGTTTTTCAAATTCTTAGACAGCTGCTTCCTCAGCTGAATGCTTCAAGGCGGCCTTCATTGAAAACATTGAGGGAGGGACATGCTTCCCTGAGGCAGACGTGGGAGAGGACTTCAATGTGCTCATATCCAACTGCTTCAACCCAATTTGGGACCTTGAAATTGAGGCAGAAGCCGTGGATGAAGGTGAAAGGGCCTGTTGACACAGGAAGGGTGAAGCCTCACCTCCCAGTTCTTCCTTGCCCGAGGCGTAAAAGCCTGGCATTGAACACAGGATGAGACCAAATGTCCCTTTTCCAAACACCAAAAGCACTTAGAATGTCCATCCATGTCAAGAAGTTTGCCTCTCCACTGTTCACACTGCTTAAAGCAGATTGTGAAGGCCATCTTGGACTAGGCCGCAAGCACCGTATTCATGGAGCAAGATCAACCGAAAGTGGGAGCCTCTATAACACAAGGCTAGAATGGAAGGTGCTCCTGTGGAGATAAGATGGTAGTCGGAATTCGCTGTTAGAAGCAAGAAAAAGTCTGATGAATCAACGAGCTCGACAAGCTAAGGGTTCCTGAAACTGGGTACAGCACCGACAAAAGGAACTGAGGGGTTTGGGTGGCAACCATGCCTTATATAGCCTCAGGACAGTGGGCGGGGTTGCCACCAATACTTTTCTGCCTAGTGATTCTAGAAGGTTCCAAACAGTCCTCGGCATCTGAGCAGATTCCCAATTGTGTGAATTCATAGAGATCACGAAAACAGAAAGTTCCTACTATGGCCGCTTACAGGATGAATTTTAAATGTTGATTTCACTCATGTTGGAGGTCAGACAGCTTGCCAAAACCCCACCATTTTGGCGGGGGCTGGACAGATGATGAGATGGCCCAGGGTTATTGCCACCAGCCCCATGCCCATTTCTGCCTAAAATGTACCTGAAAGGCCACCAAATGTAGATATGAGGCTTCTAAAGAGCTACTGGTGCAATACAATAAAAAATAAAAAAAGCCAGGAGCTTTGGAAATTCCTCCCTCCCCTCTTCAAAGCTCTGTCGCATCATTTTTTATATGCCCAGAGCTATTTAGAAGCTTTGTCTCTTTGTTTGGAGACCTTTCAGTTACATTTTAGATCAAAACAGGAGGTAAAGAGTGGAGGGTGACACTGCCATAGAATTCTTATAACTATTTCCCTCCTTCCTAATTGGAAAGCATGAAAAAACTGTCCGTACCCTTTCACTACAAATTAGAGTAATTTTTTAATTCCTCAGTAATAAACCTCTAAACCAAGCAATTTTGCTAAATTATGAAAGAGAAAAGCCAATCAGCCAGAAAACTGAACTGCAGCAGTATAAATGGAAAATGAATTGATATTGTCTAGAAAAAGTAGTGCTCAGTCTTCACTATGCAAGTTCTAGCCTAAAATATTACTTCAAAATGTTATAAAGTCTTTTTTTAGAATGACAAACACACAATATCAATTCACATACCTTTTTCATGTATTCTGTAACTGGATTCTGTTGCAAAAATTCAGTGCTCTCTCTTGTATAGAATCTCTCTGTATCAGCAAGAAACTGAGATTCAAAGGATTCTTTATAAACTGTCAATGTAGGCCCCTTAGCAAAGGTATCATCTTCATTTAGCCCCAGCTCCACTGAAAATACATGAACAAGTTTAAGGAGTTTTATTCCTCAAGACTTATTCTGCTGAACAATATAATTATCATCTGAAAAAACTCCATGTAACATCCATGCCAAGTCAATCCCTATTTTATCTCAAAAAGTGAACATGTGTGACGTTTGTCCAACAACCCACACACATAACTTTTACATTATCATGCATCCATGACATAAACTATAAAGGCAGTATTGTGATGGTAAGCCATTTCTATTTTATTTTCTTATATTTATTCTTCTACAAATTAAACTTTCTTGTAGAGCATATGTGTCATCTCCATTTCTGCAGGCCAAATCTGACATGTCATTTTATGTGGCCTTCCAGATGCTAGACTACAACGCCTGTATTCCTCACTATTTAGCATCATGACTACAGCTGATGGGAGACGTGATACAGTAATATCTGGTAAGCTGCGGTTTGTTCTGTTTAGTAGTTTAAATGTAGATACAAAGATAGTAGACATGATGTCTGACATTTCAAATGTCCTTGAACCTTTCCCCAACCTCAGAACCATAAGTGCTGTTAGGTTGCAATTCTCATTATCCCCAGTCCGCATGTTGGATAATCAAAAGGGACAGTAGTCGTCATTCCATAGCCACTGGGAATCCAAACTGGTTAAAAACTAAACAGCGCCAATCTCTACATACTTTTTTATATATATGGTTGGCCCTCTATATCCATGGATTCTTCATTCATGGATTCAATGGCCTTTGAAGGCAACTATAAAGCTGACGTCGCCCTCAATAAAAATGGGTTTGACACCCTTATTGTAGAGGATAATGTAGGAAACTAATATATACCCTTCAAACAAAGCTAAAATGCAAGTGTTGCTATTTTTTCAGTCTAGTCCTTCATATTTTAAAGCCAGATTTAATTAATCTTCAATGAATTTGCTCACAAGTTGTAAGTATTGTGAACACAATAGTTTAATTAAAGAAAACAAATTGAGTAGCTTCACATGTGGCAATTTCACTGCATGAGGGTTTTCCTCAACTCAGCATTCGCTCAACCAGCATCTTTTCAAAAGACAACCCTGCGAAGGTGGTAACAGTCAGCTCAACTGTTAAAGAAACACGTGGCCATTTCTTCAAGAACATAGTGGTCTTCTACAAGGTTCCAGGCAAAGCTCTCACCCATGTTGTTGTTGTTCATTCGTTCAGTCGTCTCCGACTCTTTGTGACCTTATGGACCAGCCCACGCCAGAGTTCCCTGTCGGCCGTCACCACCCCCAGCTCCTTCAAGGTCAGTCCAGTCACTTCAAGGATGCCATCCATCCATCTTGCCCTTGGTCGGCCCCTCTTCCTTTTACCTTCCACTTTCCCCAGCATAATTGTCTTCTCTAAGCTTTGCTGTCTCCTCATGATGTGGCCAAAGTACTTCAACATTGTCTCTAGTATCTTTTCCTCCAATGAGCAGCCGGGCTTTATTTCCTGGAGGATGGACTGGTTGGATCTTCTCGCAGTCCAAGGCACTCTCAGAACTTTCCTCCAACACCACAGTTCAAAAGCATCTATCTTCCTTCGCTCAGCCTTCCCTAAGGTCCAGCTCTCACATCTGTAGGTTACTACAGGGAATACCATGGCTCCAGCAAAGGATCACCGCCTTGTCGTGGTGCTAGAGCTTGAGCACCTCAATGATGTCATGAGCGAAACCGTGAAGGGCCACCCAAGACGGGATGGTCGTGGCAGAGAGGTCAGACCAAGCGTGATCCCTGGGGAAGGCAATGGCAAACCACCCCAGTATCCTTGCCAAGAAAACTAAATGGACCAGTACAACCAGAGATATGTCGGTATACTCTCACCCATAGTTCCCACTTTTTAAATTCAGTATTTATTTATTGCTCGTTATTAGACTACTCTTGTATTTCTCCTGAGTTCAATGACAAAAGAATACAATGTTTTGATTTTTTCAGAAATTTTCACAGAAGACAGACCTTAACGTGTAACACAGGAACTTGTCGCAAATATTGAATATGTCAAAAACATCTTAGCAGGAAATGAAAAAAAAATTACAGTGTTAAATGTACTAAATACCTTCAAATCTAAGAGAGGAAGAACAAAACTAATTTCACTCATTTCCGTTTCTAGTAGGCTTGGGGAAGGCTTAGATGCTCACAGAAGAAATGAGAAAAAACTACAAGGGGTATTTTAAATTCTATGACATTTATACATAGCTGGGAAGTATATTGCACTAGAGCCATATGCAGAATCCATATGAGGATATTAAGCAACAAAAAATAAATTTACCATAAGATTGCACAACTCCACTGATCAGTCTCGTGTTGATTGTTTCACCATTTCTTTCCTTTTCAATCAGCTTCAGCACAGCATTTGTTACCTTCAGAAAGATGGGGTAATGAAGATATAAAGGAGCAACCAGTATTAAATCATTTATAACACCAATGCTCACATTTGAGAGGCTTAGCCACATAAAAAATGGAAAATTCTTCTTCTACCAGCATAAATAAAAACTGATTAAAATATTGTATCTGGTTTGATTTTTTTAAAAAAACAAACAAATTGAAAACATTTATCTATTAAATCTTTTAGGTTTATGGAATAGGTGCAGTGTAAATATTTACATTTTGCTTTTGAAATTATAAAAATTAAAACTACAACGTATCATCTAAGAAAATAATCAATACGCAAATAAAAAACAGAGTAAAATGGCCAATGAAAATGTCTTGACAAAAAAATGCATATGAATCCCTGAGATTATGGAGTAATATCTTATACAGATATCACAGTCAGGAAAAGGAAAGGAACAACTGCGGAGATAGAGATAGAAGGATCCATAGTTGTCCTCTGCCAGTGTATGTGCTATGTTTGTTCTTTTGCCAGAAAACCTCATCAACTACACTTGCAACTGGCACAGATCATACAGAAGGGATTCAGAACCTCTCCAACTAAACAATAATTTCCTACATATTCATAATAACAGCAATGCTGAAGCTGTTCTATCAGAAAACCAGAACAGGGAATAACACATGCCAGGGAAGGAGTCAAGATAACCACAAATCACAAGATGAAGAAAAGAAAGGTACTGGTAGTTGGGGACTTATTGCTCAGGAGTTTTTGGTTTTCTTTTGTCGTGTCAGGAGCAACTTGAGAAACTGCAAGTCGCTTCTGGTGTGAGAGAATTGGCCGTCTGCAAGGACGTTGCCCAGGGGACAGCCGGATTTTGATGTTTTTATCATCCTTGTGGGAGGCTTCTCTCATGTCCCCATATGAGGAGCTGGAGCTGATAGAGGGAGCTCATCCGCCTCTCCCCGGATTCGAACCTGCGACCTGTCGGTCTTCAGTCCTGCCGGCACAGGGGTTTAACCCACTGCGCCACGGGGGCTCCAGGAGTACAGAATACAGAGGCACTAATATGGTAGCTAAATAGATAAATCAGGAAGTCTTCCTAATCAATGATATCAAAGTAGTTGGTACTCTAGGGGAAAAGAAGTCATATAATGCTAGAGTTTCAATTGTGGTAAAGAAGAGCATGACTCTTGGATTTCAGGAAATGCCAGGAAGAAATTCTAAAGGAAAAAAATACCCATCAAAGGTGAGAATTTCTGGAGGAGTTTCAATTAGCACAATCACAAATAATTCCATGGAAAAAGAAAAATTGAAAGAAAAGTTTCTTGAGAGTTACGACTGCTTGAGTTCCGATTAACTGAGAAGTCACTATAATACAGATTTTATTTTATTCCGCTTCTGGCTGTTGATCAGGTTAATTTACTTGGATATATTTGCTAAATGCTCAACAATATCCATTTGTGACATTAATAAAAACATTATAAAGCAATATTCAATAGCAATCAAGTAAAAGACATACCTGCTTATTTAATGGTCTGAACAAGCAGTCCCTCCAAGTCACAAGTGCAAGCTAGAATTTAACAGAAGATTATCAATATGAGAATATTTATTTATTTATTTATTTACAGTATTTGTATACTGCTTTTCTCACCCCGAGGGGGACTCAAAGCGGTTTACACATAAGTAATGGCAAAATTCAATGCCAGTACAAACAATTACAATTATACACTACAGTTAGACATAAAACAAATTAAAACAATACATCTATAAGCAATAAAACAATAAATATGAAACAATATGAAATCTGGATGATTAAACTTTACAGAACTCTTTTTCTTCAGGATTTCTCCCCCCAAAATTTAATGTGTTTGTCTTCTGCACAACTCAGTATCTGTCAGTGAATTCCAGCAAACTTGAAGGAATGTTGTTAATCGAACCACTGTCTCATATGCGGTAAGCATACTTCAGGTTTGTTGGAATTGCTTCTCTTAGAATATATATGTAACTTGCCAGCATCAGATGCAAAATAATGCCTCAGAATGGAGAGTGATTCTAAGCAAGCTGATACACATTTATTGCAACACGAAATCCTTTTAAAGTATGTTTAGAATTACAGAACATGATGCCTTGGGGCAAATGTTCAGATCAGGAATTTATTTTCAAGTACAGTAGCATGAAAAATGAGTGTGTAGAACTTTGATCCAAAGAAATACTGACTATCCCCAAATAAGACTGAAAGGGGACGTGAGAGCCATGCTTGACAAGGTTGTTTTCTTTTTCTTTAAAGACTAGGACATGGAGGAACGGATTCAAACTGCAGGAAAATTATTTATTATTTATTTAGAAAGGGTTATTGATTCACTCATCAAATGCCAGGTTCCAGAGCCAAGTTTTCACCAACATTCTAAAGGTCAGGAGGGAAGGGGCAGTTCTAATCTCCAATGGGAGAGAGTTCCAGAGCTGAGGGGCCACCACCGAGAAGGCCCTGTCCCTCATCCCCACCAGACGCGATTGCGAGGGTGGTGGGACCGAGAGCAGGGCCCCTCCAGAAGATCTTAACAACCTTGATGGTTCATAGGGGAGAATCCTTCGGACAGGTAAACTGGACCGGAGTCGTTTAGGGATTTATAGGTCAACACCAGCACTTTGAATTGTGCTCGGAAGCTAATTGGCAGCCAGTGGAGCTGGCGCAACAGAGGAGTAGTATGCTCCCTGTACCCCGCTCCTGTTAGTAATCTGGCTGCCGCTTGTTGGAGTAATTGCAGCTTCCGGGCAGTCTTCAGAGGCAACCCCGCATAGAGAGTACCTCTGTCTTGTCTGGATTTAGTTTCAATCTGTTGGCCCTCATCCAGTCCGTTACAGCAGCCAAGCACCGGTTCAGGACTTGAACAGCCTCCTTAGTAGCAGGTGGAAAGGAGTAACAGAGCTGGACATCATCTGCGTACAGATGACACCGAACCCCGAAACCCCGATATTCCACTTAAACATTAGGAAGAATTTCCTGACAGTAAGAGCTGTTTGTCAATGGAATATGCTGCCTCAGAGTGTGGTGGAGTCGCCTTCTCTGGAGGTTTTTGAACAGGGACTAAATGGCCCTCTGTAGGGGGTGCTTTGTTGGTATTTTCCTGCATGGCAGGGGTTTGGACGGGATGGCCCTTGTGATCTCTTCCAGATTTATGAGTCTATGATTCAAACACATGGTTTTCTTCCTTTTTATTCATGGAGAGCCTTTTAATTGTTATCTTCTAGAGCACTGTTTCTCAACCTTCCTAATGCCACAACCCCTTAATACAGTTTCTCATGTTGTTGTGACTCCCAACCATAACATTATTTTCGTTGCTACTTCATAACTGTAATTTTGCTACTGTTATGAATGTTAATGTAAATATCCAGGATGTATTTTCATTCACTGGACCAAATTTGGCACAAATATCCGATACACCCAAATTTGAATACTGGTGGGGTTGGGAGGGATTGATTTTGTCATTTCTGAGTTGTAGTTCACCAACAATCAAAGAGCATTAAGCACTCCATCAATGATGGAATTGAACCAAACTTGGCACACAAAACTCCCATTATCAACAGAAAATACTGGAAGGGTTTGGTGGGCATTGACCTTGAGTTTGGGAGTTGTAGTTCACCTACATCCAGAGAGAATAATGAAGGATCTGGACCAAACTTCGCATGAATACTCAATATGCCCAAATGTGAACACCGGTGGAGTTTGGGGGAAATAGACCTTGACATTTGGGAGTGCAGTTGCTGGGATTTATAGTTTATTTATTTATTTCGAGCATTTCTACCCCGCCCTTCTCAACCCCCGAAGGAGGACTCAGGGCGGCTTACAAAAGGCACAATTCGATGCCAGCAATACACATAGTAAGATAAAATACATAGCAGCAACAATTATAAAATAATCAAAACAATCCAGTTATACAATACAACTAATAAAACTAATCTAGTTCACCTACAATCAAAGAGTATTCTGAACCCCACCGATAGAATTCGGCCAAACTTTCTACACAGAACCCCCATGAACAACAGATAATACTGAGTTTTCTGATGGTCTTTGGCAACCCCTCTGAAACCCCCTCACTGCCCCCCCAGGGGTCCCAACCCCCCAAGTTGAGAAACACTGTTCTAGAGACTGCCAGCCTATTTTGTGTGTATTGATTGCCACAACAAGTGGGTTGAGGCAGGTACAATCCTTTTTTGGTACATTTTAAGGGCATCACTATCTTCTAGGGAAGTGATTCTCAACTTTGGGTCCCCCAATGTTTTGGCCTTCAACTCCCAGAAATCCTAACAGCTGGTAAATTGGCTAGGATTTCTAGGAGTTGTAAGCCAAAACACCTGGAGACCCACAGGTTGAGAACTCCTGTTCTAAGGTTACTTCCAGTCTAATCTATGTACATTGGTTGCCACAACTGCACAAAAGTCGTATCTCTTCTTAATTCCCTTTCTCCGCACTCCAACGTCGAACACCGCTATGGAGCTGCACCACTGAGAAGTTTCATCCCAATAGCTCTAAAAATAAGTGGGGGGGGGGGGGAGCTCAGGATGCCCCCCCTTGTGCAACTTAACAAAATAGTAACAAAAAAATGTTACTCTCATTATAATAATGAAACAGACACTTATGATATTTTAGAAATTATTATTATTAATAATAATAATAATAATAATAATTATCATCCCACTTTTTCTCACAGGTGGGACTCAAAGCAGCAAGCAAATAGTAAAAAACCAAAACTACACAATACAAGAACACAACATCATCCTTCGAACCCAAACATATAAGACACCCTTTAGAAACCACTCGCCAGTGCCCCTAATTTTTAAAAGTGTATTGAAGCATTTCTTTCATCGATCACACAGCATTTCTCTCTCTCTCTCTCTCTCTGTGTATGTGTGTATACACACACACACACACACACATATATAAACTGGAGTTACACTTAAAACTGTACATGTTCTGACTTACATGCATATTCACCTTAAGAACAAACCTATAGGACCTACCTTGTTCATAATTTGGGGACCACCTGTATAGCTATTCCTAAAGTCCTTCATTCATACTAATACTTTCTCTATATTAAGAATAATGGCATACATGTGGGTACTAAGGTAATTTTATGCATATGCATATATATTTTCTCAGCCTACTGTTTACATGCAAAAGATCCTCCCCAAATGTTTTTGGGATTGCCTCTCCTTTAGTTTCTGCTCTTCAGGTGATGAAAACTGGGCCCTAAACTTCCACAATTTGCTCATCCTTGGAGAAGACTCACTAAATGTTTTAACTGTATATTGTGGATTTTTATGGCATTGAATTGCTGCCAATTTGTAAGCCGCCTTGAGTCACCTTTGTGCTTGAGAAAGGCGGGTTAGAAATATCGTAAATAATAAATAAATGAACAAATAAATAAAATCAATAAAATTTTAATTAGTCCTCTCACTGATTTCCATCAGGTATTACTAACTTTGGCTACAGCCCAAAGATATGCAAACAGAAATACACAGAAAGGTCTGAAAGGCAAGGAAAGTAGCTACATAGTGCATATTCTATTTTAAAAGGACAGAAGACTGGTTATTTTTTTAAAAAAACTTTTAGGAATTGTGACCTTTCCCCACATCTTACATTAAACATGAAATATTTTTCTTTCAAACAACTATTTATGAATACTCACTGAATAGATTTCATATATTCCCTTGCGACCTTCATCACACTCACGACGAACCCAGTGTCGATTGAGGTAGGCACAAATCCCATTTAGTACTTTGCTTGAAAACCTATAATCCTCCCACTGTTGAGTGTAGAATTTCAACACACTCTCATCCATCAAGTCTTCGCCATCCTGGAAAAGACAAACAGTAGGGACATAATGTAAAATAGAAGTAGGATATTAAATTGTTTCTCTGTATATGTCCTGAGTAATGCCTTTCAACGAGCGAGAACTTTCCAAAGGTTTCTTAGGTTTCAGGATTTTGGAAAGTTCTTGCTCATTTGCTGGCTGATTGGAAACTACACATTGTCACTCATCTTAATTTCCAGTAGTACACCAAAGATTACCGTCTGTTTCCCAGAAAATCTCAAAATTGTAGATTAAAGCAAATTATCCTTTTTTGGCAAGATTGCTTAGAGCCCTGTCTCTTCATTGTTTAAATTACTGAATGAATTGCTCCTAGTCTTAATCTCTAGGGCGACCATATAGTTTATACAAGGTTAGCAATGAATGTTCTTGTTGCTTTGATTTTTGCTATGAGAAAAAGTACCCTTGTTTGTCTTTGAACAGAATTTTTTTATTGCATCTCCCAGTTAACTAGAACTCAAATAACCAAAACTTTCAAGTGAGCAGCAAAAAATAAAATAAAAACAATGTGTTAAAGAAAAAAATTAAAATAAAATCAATTTCAGTGGAATGTAAGTTTAAGATAATTTGTCTTTATTAATATTGAATTACTGTATTTCAATATTAATATTAAGTCAATTCAGAGTTTATGGTATAGTGTTGTATGGGATATAATGTTATTTAGGCCTATTTTTAAAAGTAACTCTCAAGCAACCAAAACTACATTTATCCGGCATCAACCAAACTGTAAGTTTAACAAAAGTAACTTAATGTAACACAGTTTCACTATATTATTTAAACCAGTGGACTGCAAAAACTAAAATATGGTCCATGGCCTCACAGTTACTACACCGTTGCAAAGAGTGACTGGTCTTGCAAAACTCTCTTATAGTGCTGGGGTTTATTAAATATGGTTTTTTGTGGGTGAGCAGATGGTGACTACTGGATGGCATATGTTCTGTATCAGAAGCTAGAGCTGATGTAGTCTATCCAATGCAATTTTCTGAATCAGCACCCCAAATAACCAAACCAAATCTAAAGTTGACCAAAAACTGATTCATACCCTTTTGGTACTAATGTTGGAGAGTGGTCCCTGGTCAAAGTGGTCCCTGGTCAAAAAAAGGTTGGGAACCACTGATGTACAGAGATCCTAGAAAAAGAGTGCTGATTGGTTGAGTTCTGGTTAATGGAGAATTTACTGCAAATAGGTCCAAGCCTGAACTTTCCCCAAAAGCCAATACGACTAAATTACTTTAGCTATATCATGTGAAGCCATAATTCACTAGTAAAGACAATAAAGCTTGCTAAGACAGAAGGCAGTAGGAAAAGAGCAAGACCACATTTCAGGCCCCATCTTCACTGCCATATAATTGGATTTGAACTGGATTATATGGCAGTGTAGATCCAGCCTTAGGGCCCTTTCACAGGGCTAAATCCCAGTTCCTCTCAGGATTTAGGCAGGAGCTTTGTCCGAGATGCCTGTGCAGGGAGGCAGACCTGTCTGATAAGTTTAAGGGGAAAATGGGAGGCTGGGAGAGGAGGGTGGCACTCCTGGAGCCCGAAAAACCATGATGGCAGTGAGGATTGACCCTCGGGATTGCAAAAGACATTCCTGAGTCAATCCCTAGAAGATCAACAGCTGTAAAGATCTGGATCTTATTCAAAGGTCTGAATCCTTGTAGGTAATTTATTAATGCACAATAACCCTGGAAATCCAGGTTTGCTCTGGATTAATACGGATTAGCCTGTGATGTAATTTGGACATCTCAGACTAATCCGGGACCCAGACTTTGGCCCTGTCTGGAAGAGCCCTCATCAAAAAAGCCACAGCCCCGAGTCTCTAAGACCCAAGCAGGGGTGTTGTGGATAGGGTCACTTGGAGATCTTTCCTTTATGAGGTTGCCATAAGTGAAAGTTCACTTGATATGAGGTGACAGCAACAAAATTAGCACTATCATGAGATAGTGCTAATATACTATCACATATAGTTTTAACATACACATATAGTTTTAAATAGTCCTACAAAAAAACAAAAAACAAAAAACAAACAGCTAGTGAGAAGTAATTCTTTAGTTTTAAAATCTTGTGTTATTTATGTAGACAAAATCATCCATCATCCAAATAAACTAAGTTTACATTCTTCTCTATTCACATACAAAATAATCATATTGTATGTGAATCACAATCATATAGATCAGTGGTTCTCAACCTGGGGTCCCCAGATGTTTTGGCCTTCAACCCCAGAAATCCTAACAAGCTGGTAATTCTTCTTTATTCGCATACAAAATAATCATATGATATGTGAATCACAATCATATAGATATAGGTTTCAGAGGGAACTTCCACTATAACTTTCTGTCTAAATGTACCCTTCAAGAAACTCCAAGGCAAATAAATGATTATGAAAGCCCTAATGCTTTTGTGTTATCTCGGCCTCTGCAGAAAGATAAAGGAAGCTGCTTCCCTCTTAATCCTATATCCATTACACAGCCCAACAACAAAAATTCTTGGTGTCTTCATTCTTAGGCCTGTTCCTGGGGTTATTTGGTGCACTGATTCAGAAAATTGCATTAGAGAAATTGCATCATTTCTTAGATATGGTGTGTTGAATGACTGGAAACTGTATAATAAATCTGTGATGGTCAGTCATAAGGCCGAACAAGGCATAGGGTTACAGCCTGTGCTTGATAGGATTACACTCCCCCTGAAGGCGCATGTTCTCAGCTTGGAAGTGATCCTGGACTCATCGCTGAGCCTGGAACCCCAGGTCTCGGCGGTGGCCGCAAGAGCTTTTGCACAGTTAAAGCTTGTGCGCCAGCTGTGTCCATACCTTGAGAAGGTATGTTAGTCCATGCTCTGGTTACATCCCTTATAGACTACTGAAATGCGCTCTACATGGGGTTGCAAATTAGTCTAATGCTCGGCAGTCAGAATACTAACGGGAGCGGGGTACAGGGACCGCACAACTCCCTTGTTGCGCCAGCTCTACTGGCTGCCAATTAGCTTCTGAGCACAATTCAAAGTGCTGGTCTTAACCTACAAAACCCTATACGGTACTGGTCCAGTTTACCTGCCCAAATGTATTCTCCCCTATGAACCATCAGCAGTGTTAAGATCATCTGAAGAGGCCCTGCTCTCGGTTCTGCCACTTTCACAGTCTCGTTTTCTATGGTGGTCCCCTGGCGATGGAATTCCTTCCCAAATGAAATTAGATCTTCCCCCTTTTTCCTGACCTTTAGGAAGCTAGTGAAAACCTGGCTGTGGAACGAGGCCTTTGCAGAATGATGGTTGAGACCGGTGACCACTGTATATGGACTGAATATACAGACTGGGTTGGACATGCTTTTATCTTGGTGAACAGCTTTTATGTAATTTATCTTATATGTATTTGTTAATTTACTATCGATGTATGATGTTGTAGATTTTTACTGTGACCCTCTACGTTGGTAGAGAAAATTGGGATATAAAAGTTTTAAATAAATAATAAATAATTTTGCTATACAATAAGTAGTAGTACGCTTTTCTTTGCATTTGTGATATATATTTTTTTGTCCTGTCAGGAGTGACTCCTGGTGTGAGAGAATTGGCCGCCTGCAAGGACGTTGCCCAGGGGACGCCTGGATGATTTGATTTTTTATCATCCTTGTGGGAGGCTTCTCTCATGTCCCCGCATGAGGAGCTGGAGCTGATAGAGGGAGCTCATCCGCCTCTCCCCTGATTCGAACCTGCGACCTGTCGGTCTTCAGTCCTGCCGGCACAGGGGTTTAACCCACTGTGTCACCAGGGGCTCCATTTGTGATATGAAAATATATTAATTTAAATGCTACATTAAAATATCCTAATTTTTATGAGCAAGCAGTGTGAAGAGTGATACACGGCATATGTTCTGTATCTCAAAGAGATTGGAAATAGTGTCATTTTGCAGCAAGTCAAATATACCCAGAAACAGGGCTAATATTTGAGGCACCAAAATGTGTGTTGGACAGTGTTATCTGTGACGAGAGCTTATAGTCACCAGCTGGAACCACAATGTTGACATCTCCAGGATGAAAATGAAATCAACAGTCAAAAACAAACAAAATCCTAATGCTGGTAACACGTCTGCATTATTAAGAGTGATTTAACTCATCCTGTGCCTTTCCACTCTACTCATTTAGATTAGCTGAGAAAAAGGTTTACTTTAGTTTGAAGTCTCCTGGACTGCTAAACAGGAAACATTGGGAATTAAAAAACTTGTTGGAATATAAGCTGTGTGTACATACTGTTTTGTTTTTTTACCTACTCATCAAAAACTGCCCAAAATAGACCTCTCGGTAATTCTAGACCCAATCATAGTACTTGGAAGGCTTATAGGTAAATATTCTTGACTGCTACTCGCACATGTTTTACATTGTAGGACATCTAAAAATATAGCTGTGTAATTCATAGCCCCTTATGAAGTAACCAAAATTTATGTTCTTTAAACAGTTAAGACTGACAGTATTATTTTTATAGTATATCTTTATATACTTTTCCTCAAGCAGTATTGATTCCCATGTCTTTTCCATTGTCCTCAAGCAGTTTTCAACAATTTGCTCTTCTCTACTACTTGATTACTTGCGTAATATTCTTTCAATTCCATGTGCCGATAGCAAATATCAAGTTCAAGCAATTTTAGTGACGGTAAGGAATTTTTGTGATTTTATAAGTATTATTTTAAAAAGCTCAGGCATCTTACCTGTGAACCCCATTAAGTGACACTCCTGACGTTATATCATTTTTACAGTATGTTGCTTCAAGTTTTACAGGTCAGCCTAAAATCCTTTAAAACAATTATAAAGTTGATCCTTCACATTTGAGCTTTTAATTTTTATTAATACAGATTAATACATTTTCCAGGGCGATTCTATGCTCAACTACTGGCAGACATTTACCAGAGTTGCCACGGAGAATCTAGAGATTCTTAAAGAGAACATACTAATCTAATGCACCTCAAAAATTTAAAAGCCCTTTAGAAAGTGTTTCTCCCTCCAGTTTCGCAGAGGTCCTGCTCCCCTAAAATGGGGGTTAGGGGAGTTACTGTCCTGACCATCTCAAACATGTCATTTCTTCTTTATAACATCTTTTCAATTGTTCAATAACACTTGAAATGCTTAACTTTTTTGCTGATACAATTACTATCTTACCTTAAGGAGATTAGTCAAGTAATTCTTTAGAAATTCTTTAAGCCGCTTGTAGAGTTCCAAACCAACAAACTGAGCTCCGCCAGGCGTTTGGCCTTTTTTCGACTTAGAAGTAGGTACACCAGCTCCTCGTGCTTGATTAGATTGATGCACACTAGTACAGTAGTTATAAACATGACTGTAGAGCAGTTAAGGAATATTACAAAATAATTATAAAGTATAAAATACATATTATGCATATACCACTTAGAAATGGTCAAAGTATCTAATGTACATTGCGGACGAGGTAGACCTAGATATATTTAAAATAGGCCCACTGAAATAAATGGTTAATTAGGATGTTCAGCTTTCCAATGCTGTGGAGGGAAGGATATTATTGAAATGGAATTATCCATGTATAGCTAAATCTTATCCACTATGCTGTTCCTGCTCTCAAATATACATAAAGAAGTGTTATTAATTATCAGAGGGTTTTTTTTTGGGAGGGGGGAAGGGCAGTTGGGTTGGTTGTCCGGGGGAAGCATCCCAACACTTAGAATTCTTAAGATAAATGATGTTGGAGAATTTTTTTAAAAAAAACTGGGAAGAGGCTGCTGTTTCTATAGTACAACAGAAAATGATATATTTGATGTTTGTTGAGGGACTACCAATAAGGTAGTTCTCAGTCTTACGCAAACTGTTATCAAAACATACATGTTAAGGAAGTCTCCAAATTAATATATTTCCCCTACAGAAGAAAGGACCTTTGGAAGTTTGGGGCAGACTCCTCTAATTGATCTTTGCGGCCATGTACACAAAGAAATATCTCCATAATTCCAGAAATATCTAGATCAGTGGTTCTCAACCTGGGGGTCGGGACCCCTGGAGGGGTCGCGAGGGGGTGTCAGCAAGGTCGCCAAAGACTGTCACAGACAGTATTTTCTGTTGGTCATGGGAGTTCTGTGTGGGAAGTTTGGACTAATTCTATCGTTGTTGGGCTTCTCAATGCTCTTTGGTTGTAGGTGAACTACAAATCCCAGCAACTACAACTCCCAAATGTCAAGGCCTATATTCCTCGAACTTCACCAGTGTTCACATTTGGGCATATTGAATATTTGTGCCAAGTTTGATCCAGATCCATCATTGTTTGAATCCACAGTGCTCTCTGGATGTAGGCAAACTACAACTCCCAAACTCAAGGTCAATGTCCGTCAAACTCTTCCAGTATTTTCCGTTGGTCATGGGAGTTCTGTGTGCCAAATTAGGTCCAATTCCATCGTTGGTAGAGTTCAGAATGCTCTTTAAATGTAGGTGAACTATAAATCCCAGCAACTACAACTCCCAAATGAAAAAATCAATCCTCCCCTAACACTCTTACATAACGATTCATAACAGTAGCAGAATTACAATTATGAAGTAGCAATGAAAATAATTTAATGGCTGGGGGTCACCCCAACATGAGGAACTGTATTAAGGGGTCGCAGCATTAGGGACGTTGAGAACCACTGATCTAGATGTCTCAGAAGGATTTTTGTGAGTTTTTCCTCAACTAGCTGGAATAAACAGGCTCTATGTACAGACTTTCAAAGATCTCTTCATTATTTTTACAGCTTACCAAACTTCATTAACAGTGCCACACCCAATACAGTTTATTTTCAAGAATAGCTAAATAGGGCTAAGTCCCAAGTGACAAAATATTAAGTTTGATTTCTTTTTAGTGTTTTTAATTATTTATTTTTAATAGTTCCAAGTTAAATTCTATTTTAGTGTTTGTGTTGTAGGTTTTAAATGGTACACATGTTGTTTTTACATCGTTCACCAATTTAAGAGAGGAAAGTGGGATGATGACAGCAGCAAAAAGACCCCTACAAAGAGCTTGAAACATCAGGGGGTTTTCAGGTTAGGTTGTTAGCACTTCACTTTCTTGCTGTGAGGCTGGTGAAGAGCCTGATCTTTCCCCTTGTTGGTTGGCCCTTTTGCTGTCTACCTGATCGAAGCAGGCAGCAAAAAGATCAAGGAAAGGGGAAGCCAAACCCCTTCACCAACCTCACATTGAAAATAGTGTGAGGCTGGCAAAGGGCCTGGGATTCCCCTTGTTGGTCAGCCATTTCCCTGTGTGCCCTCCACGTACTGCAGGGAAACTCTTTGCAGGCTGGGTCCAGTCTGAAGGTCGTATGTTGTGCAGGCCTACTATAGGTCAAACTACCAGATCTATAAAAAAAATCAGGAAGGGGAGATATCACATGAGCTTGATAGATGATATTCTCTCTGTATGTACATATCTTAAAATTCCTACAATCTCACTGAAGATAATATAAAGATGCCAACCTATCCATCTGAAAAAGAGAACAAATCTACATCAATTGATATTTTAACTGTAAATGCTAGGATACGTGTAAAGCTCCATATATCTGGATTTTGCCATACTTTGTCTTGTGTAAACTTGTTGAATTCCAGCTCTGAGGTCATCCCATATTTGATCAAGACCAATTTGTTTAAGTCCATGTGGGTTCTGACTCCTGTTTGATGACATTTTGTATTTCCGACAAAAACTTCCAGGGCAACAGAAAGGGATAGTGTTAGTTCTCCATCAAAGGCAGAAATAAACCAACATTCTCACTTCAGTCACTCAGAAGAAATGTTGTTTTCACATAAAAACCGAGGTTGTTTCACCCTGTTGTGGGAGAGAAAGAAGGGGAAATGTTTATTCAACTCCACGAATTAAACAGTAACAGATTTTATTTGATATCCAATTGAAAACTGTCATGGAACACTTGTTAATGTGTCTTAAAAACCTGTTTCCACAGTAATGATCAGGCATTCTAACTGCACTTATCACCAATTATTAGCTTCACAGGGATAGGTGGGTTAGAACATTGGTGGGAGAAAAACAAATAGCTTGTGCAGTATGTTAAAAACTAGATAATGTATAATGGTTATAATCCATTTAAACAGTTTGTTTAGTGGGAAATAAAATCTGAATAGTACAGATTGGCAATTACAATAAAGCTTAAGCTAAATAAAATCTTAAACTGTATAAAAATCATGACAAGAACCATTCAGCTTAACATGATAAAGCTAGTGCACCACGGTGGCTCTATGATAGCTAAAATGAGACAAACCACTCAGCATCCCAATATCAAATGCTTCTTAGAGCATACTACTCTTAACAGTATCCCTTCTACAAATAAGGTGAAGATATCTTGGCCATAAGAAAGTGTTGGTGAAAGGAGTGCAAGAGAGATTATGTATTATGTGAGTACATGTTGTGTAGTTCCATTTATACATGAAGGCACTCTCTGTGAATGAAGGTGAGGACAGTGAGGGACGAAGCTGCCTGAGATGACCTCCCAAAAACCCCAGGTGCCAAATCCATGTAGTCATCAATCCCTTTCTCAGAGGAGACAAATGCAGTTGTGCTTCAGTCACTTTGGAGAATGGAGACAGACTCTATTCTCCAAAGAGCAAAATTATCCCATGCTTCAGTCACATCTGTGCTCAGAGAAAGGAGACAAATTCCATTCTCACTGAACAGAAGAGCATCAGGACAATAAACTGTTTAGCACACACATTCCTTTAGTTTTTTATGAGCTATACAATCAAAGGTTTTGCTGTTATCTACAAAGCACAAGCTGAAACTCTCTGTTGCAATTCTTTCACCAACACAAACCTGCTTGGGAGAAAGGTGGGATATAAATCTAATAAATAAAATGATACAAATAGTGCCTCTTCCTTTCCTGAAGCAGCTGGGTTTCTAGCTCCATACATAGTAAAAGTCTTTTAAGCCTCACTTTATTTGCATGGGAAATTAAGGCAATGGTTTTGGGGTTACTGTGATCCCTGCTGACTTTTTTCATGGGAATGTATACTGAGTGTTTGCAATCTGTGGGCTATTGTTTTATTTTCCATATTTATTGACAATTTTTAATTAAAACTAGAGTAGATTCTTTCTCTGTAGACTGAAGCAGCTCAATAATGCAAATGGGTTGTCTTCATATGGTTCTTCCTCAAATGAATGTCATACTTTCATCATAAATAGTTCTTCCCTGTGTATTGTTTCCATCATCTTTTTCCTTGTTTGTTCATATATGTTCCAGTAATGGTCACAGAACATCCCCATTCTTGATTTAAATTTCCCTTTCATTTCTAGGATCTTGTGGTAGAAGGTTTTTTCTCTAACCTTTTTGTTATCAGCTTAGTATTTCTCTGCTTATTATTGCACTTCTCCTTTCTCCTGCATGCTAGAGTTCTGACATGTTTCACTTTTTCTTCTCGTTTGTCTATAATTGCTTGATGAGTTTAATCAATTGAGTCTTCTTTTTGGCTTCACACAGTGTCTTTTTTGCATTCCTTCCTGACTTTGGCCCCATCTACACTGCCATATAATGCAGCTTGAACTGCATTATAATGGTCAGTGCATACTCATATAATAAAGATTGAACTGCATTGATCTGGATTATATGTCTACACTGCCATATAAACTAGTTCAATGCAGTTAATCTGCATTCTGAAACAGCATTATATGGCAGTGTATATGGGCCCAATGACTCTAGCAATTAGGCTTAATAATACAAATCTATTTTTTCACATTATGTTTAAATTCTATGGCAATGTTTTTTAGGCTGTATTCTCTGGAAGTAAACAAGTATCAACACTCGTTTTATAGAGCAATTAGGGACAGATGGGCACAAATAGGGACAGTGGTGCATATCTGCTGTCTTGTTCTCACCTGTTTCTAGATCTATGTAACTCAATGTGTTTTGCTTCTGCATGAATGTAGAGGCTACTTCCCCCTTCTTCCCAAAAGTCCTTAGTGCTTTGTTATCCTTTGTTGAGGAGGAAACATCACAAGGCTTCGCTCACTCAAGATGGCTTATACCCAAACATCAAAGTTAGCAGTAGGGACTCTTCTATCAAAGTAAGGTCATTTTTTTTGTCTATCTACTCTTTTATTTGCAATATAGAATAACAAAATTAAGTATTTAACCTTTTCAACCTTACCAGAACACCCTACCTATTTTCTCTCCTATTTCCTACCATAAAGGCACAGTCTGGTTTTAGGCTGGGACATGGAACTGAAACAGTCTTGGTTACCTTAGTGGATGATCTACGCCAGGAGCTAGACAGGGGGAGTGCATCCCTGTTAGTTCTGCTGGACCGCTCAGCGGCCTTCGATACTGTCGACAACGGTATCCTTCTGGGACGCCTCGCGGGAATGGGCCTAGGAGGTACTGTTTTGCAGTAGCTCCGGTCCTTCCTAGAGGGTCGTTCTCCGAACGCATCTCCTCCTATGAACCAACTAGGACATTAAGATCATCTGGGGAGGCCCTGCTCTCAGTCCCGCCTGCATCACAGGCGYGCCTGGTGGGAACGAGAGACAGGGCCTTCTCAGTGGTGGCCCCTCGGCTGTGGAATGCCCTTCCTATAGATATCAGATAGGCCYCATCCCTATTGGTGTTTTGGAGGAAAGTGAAGACCTGGCTGTTCGAACAAGCATTTGATTAAGCAGTGTAATGAATATAGGAACACGGATTAACGGATGATGAGATTGGATTCTGATTTTACTGATGAGAYGCTAATGATTGTTATACTGATGTTTAATTGTTGATGATGCTATTGTTTTAACTGTCCCATAATCGTTTTATGATGTTTTGCATTTAATTTTGCTGTTGTTAACCGCTTTGAGTCGCCTGAGGGCTGAGAAAAGTGGTATGTAAATGAAGTAAATAATAAATAAATAAATAAATAAATAAGGCCATATATAGCACTGGCTGAACTGCATTCTACTCTGCTTTACATACCAAATATTTTTAAGTGAGCAAAGATGGATCATCCAGCACACATGAGTTTGTTCTGATTCCAAAACTGCAAGGGGGCAATTTTTGTTTATGGAAGGTCAGAACTGATACTCAAATGGCAGAAGGATGAACTTTGGATGCTTTCAAAACTGAAAGGTTTGCCCAGGAGAAAGTAACCGTTATATGGGATAACAAAAAACATAAGGCAAAAAGTCTTGTAATTCGGCACTTGGGCAATGCACAACTGATAAATATGAAAAATTAAGCATTTGCTATGAACATGATTCAATCTTTGCAAGATTTATATGATCAAATAGATATTCAAGATCAGATTCAGGTTTAGAGAGAATTATTTGCTTTACGGCTAGTGTAAGATAATGCAATGAAATAGGGAAAGAATTTTCTGCTTACTAGTAGATACATTGTTTTAAGCAGGAGAGAAATAAGACAATGTACAAAAGGTTTTGCCGGGGTGCCTACTAAAGGATTGTTCTCCCTTTCTATCTGGGATTAATACCATGAGAAAACCCTTCTTTAAAGATGGTATGTTTAAGCTTAAAAGAGAAGCTGAACAGATGCTACTGCATGAGAAAAGAGCATCTGGCTCTCAGACTGTTGCCCAAAACACTGGCTCAAATTACGCTGCTAGAGGAGAACAAAAGGATGGGAGATTTGCATGTGAAGCAACTGCAGGTGAACTGCCAAGGAAGGATGAAATTGAACTTACGGGTGTGGCAGAAAAAGACATTATCAAAAATACTGCTTAGCCAATCAGAGGTTAGAAAACCACCTAAATAAAGATAGTTTGCAAACAGAAGAAGAATTCAACCTCTTTAAGTCAAAGGGCTCTTACAATCATAAATTTGTAGCTATCTAGTTTGTAGTACTGCTCCACAGTGACTTATGTGGCCCAGTTCAAACTTTATCTAGGGCTTGCAATTACTATTTACTAACCTTTGCAGATACTAGAATAATGTAGTTGGAAAATACCACAAGGACCATCCAATCCCCTTGTCAGACAGGGATGCCCAATCAAAGAACTACCCAAAACTTACCATCTAGCGTCTACTTAAAAATGTCCACCACACTCTGAAGCTGCATATTCCCCATCAGGACGCTTTTCCCAATGATCAGGTAGAATCTCTTTCCCTACTATTTAACTCTATTGCTCCTTCTCCTGGTCTCTAGAGGAGCAGGAAAACAAGCCTGCCTGCTCCTCAATGTGACATCCTCTCAAATATTTAAATATGGTCACCATATCCGCTCTCAGCCTTCTTTCTCCAAACAAAATGTACTCCTTTGTGAGTTCATCTGTTCCAGGTAGGCATCATCCATGTCCTCAGTCTGGCTTCAAAATCTGTACCAGACCTCCACAATGACACCCCTGTTGTTTCTTATTTTTTGCACTGTATTCTCAACTTGACTACGTCATTAATCTCCCCACAGATGTGAACATCCTTTATATACAATACTCCTCCTCCTCTCCTATTGCTCTATTTTTCAGAAATAGGTTATTACCCTCTGTATGTTCCAAACACGAGACTCTTTGCACTAGAGATGCCAATTATATCACATCTGCTTGTCTGTATTAAGAGTTCAAGTTCATCTTATTTATTTCTCAAGCTCTCTGCATTAGAAACACTGAAGACCATCTGCCACAGCTTATTTGTTTTTCCCCTTCTCTTTCTTGAGTTCTTGCATTGTCTCCCTCCTTTAGGCAATTCAGTTTGAAGCCCTCTTGATCAGATTTGTGACACTCATCCTGTCAACCTCTGTGAGGTGCAACCCATCAATTGCCAGAAGCTTAACTTCATTAAACCTCAGACAATAGTCCAGGAAGCAAAATCATTTGTGGCAGCACCATCTACTAAGCAAG